GCCCTGCCACCCTCCAGTCTCGCTGAAGGTAATTTCTCGGGAGGCTGATTGAGGGGAAGCGTCCCCTCTTATAGGGACACCTGTACTCCTATTGGCTGCAGGTGTGTGCATAATTTTGTCTCAGGCTGTTCGCTGCCTAGGCTGCCTAGGCAGCTGGGTAAACCAATAGGAGCAGAGCTCCCCTATGGGGCTCGCTCCACTCATAGAACTGGAGTTACAACTCCGGTATCTATCGTTACATCTCTGTTACATCTCATATTCAACTCATCACTACTAATTTAGCCAGTTAAATCTCTCTCACACAGCACTCAACAGTATTACAGGAAGCAGGTAAACTGAAGCTGAAGAGAGATTTTTTAAAAAGAGAACCTTCATAAAGTGGTCCTCTGTAGCTCAGCTGGTAGAGCACGGCGCTTGTAACGCCAAGGTAGTGGGTTCGATCCCCGGGACCACCCATACACAAAAATTTATGCGCGCATGACTGTAAGTCGCTTTGGATAAAAGCGTCTGCTAAATGGCATATTATTATTATTATTATAAAGGTTGACTTCTGGTGGGGATTAGAGCAAAGGTCGAACACAACGTGCCATTCCACATGGGGTCCAGTACGGAAATGTATCCACTCACTACTGTAAGTCGCTCTGGATAAGAGTGTCTGCTAAATGATTAAAATTAAAAAATGTAAGTGTATATTTTGCATTTGTGAAATTATTTTGATGTGTTATGAAAGTAAATGGCTTTATGTTCTAGAACCGTATCGCAATTGAGAATCGATTGACGTTTAGATGGATAACTTGGCTGTTTTGGCTGCCAGAGCAAATCTACCTCTGAAAATAACATATAAAGTCCTTTGACCTTAAGGAATAATGGTAGGCTCCTTAAGATTACACCTTGGGCTAGTCCAGTGCTTCTCAATTATTTTCTGTTACGCCCCCCCCTAGGAAGAAGTAAACATTTCGCGCCCCCCAACTCTCCGCCGCGACTATAAATAGTATAATTTATCTATACAATTGTTATAAGTACACCTCTGCATAACATTGTATCCTTATTAACATTAAAGAAAACAAAAAAATTAAAAATAAAGTAATATAGATCAACTTACAACAAAGAATAACTGTATTAACATTGTTTTTAGTCTGTAACAGAAAATACTTAAAGTTCATCAATTTGCCTGAAATAAAATAAAAAATTCAAACCTTATTTAAACTGTAAACATTTTTTGACCATTTGATACTGAAAAACAAAATTAAATATAATCAATAAATAATAATACATTCAAATTGATCAGCAACATTAACTCAGGAGCACAATATATGAAACACTTTGACCTATAAAACAAAAATGAATAAAACAATTTGTGCTGATTTTTTTATAAAAATGAGGAAGTCAGGATTAATGGCTACAATGAGCACATTTTGCAGTGCACAGCTTTTCGAAGCGGGGTTTGAAGCATTACATTTACATTTTACATTTTAGTCATTTAGCAGACGCTCTTATCCAGAGCGACTTACAGTTAGTGGGTGCATACATTTTCATACTGGCCCCCCGTGGGAAACGAACCCACAACCCTGACGTTGCAAGCGCCATGCTCTACCAACTGAGCTACACAGGGCCAAGCATGATACTGCAACTCTCAGCTCCTGCTCAATGTTTAGCTGGGACCTGTACTTGGTCTTCAGTGCAGCAACAGCAGAGAAGCCAATCTCACAAAGATAAGATGTTGCAAAAGGAAGAAGAATGCCCATGGCCCTCTGCCCTAAGAGTGGATACTGCCTCTCTACACTCAGCCAAAATTCACTCAGTGTCTGTGATGTGAACCTCAGTCTCAATGTGGAGTCAGACGTCATATCAATGAACTGGTCCTCCTCTGCAGAGCTGAAACCAGTTGGAGCTGGTGCATTGAAAGGATCTCTCACCCAGTCATATTGGGAACTGTTTTCAGGGAAGTACTTTTTAAAGAATCCCATCAGTGATGAAATATGCTCCTTAATATATGGAATCACTGAGGTGGCATCATAGTCAGTAGTGTCAACAAATTCATTCAGGTTCTCGAATGAATCAGTATTTCCTTCATTAAGTCGCCTGTCCCACATTGCAAGCGTTCGAGTGAAAGAGCTGATCTTTTCTGTGACCTGAGGTGTTTATCTTTCCCTTGAAGCTGTAGATTTAGTTCATTTAGCTTTCCAAATATGTCACTCAGGTAGGCCAGTTTTGCCAGGATGTTCTCATCACTAAATTTTTCTGCGAGGTCATACTTGTGCTCCTGCTCCGAAAAAATTATTATCTGCTCTGAGCTCAAAAACTCGGGACAAGACTTTTCCTCGTGACAGCCACCTTGCTTCACTGTGAAACAGCACAGCTTGATGTTCAGCTCCCATCTCCTCACAGATAGCAGAGAAGACTCTTGTTTTTAGTGGTCTGGTGATTGGGGTGTATCAGCGTGATTGGGGTGTAATGTCTTTAAGTGACGCCTTAATTTATTTGGCTTCATGCTGTCCGCTGCCAACATTTTTAGACACAGTAAACATACCGGTCTTTCCTCGTCTCCCACCGTAGTCGCAGTGAAGCCAAGCGCTACATACGCTTCGTCATATTTCCTTGTCTTAGCTTTCGGGAGACTTACGTTTGTCTCATCTCAGTCTCTCTCCGCCTTTCTTTTCATCCCTGTTAAATATTTTTCCATGGTGTCTCTTAAGGGTTTGTTATCTGCACTTCATATCTCCTGCTCTGTGCTGTGTGCTCTTGTTCCGTGCAAAAAAAAACCTACTCCCTGCGGCAAAAAAAAAAGCATGTTCCCCGGGGTCACACGCGCCCCCCCCCTGGCATCGCTCCGAGCCCCCCCAGGGGGGCGCGCCCCACTATTTGAGAAGGACTGGGCTAGTCCGACCCCAGTGCAGCTGTAAGCAAGCATACGGTTGGAATCTACTCTGGCTAGGATGACAGGATGATGTGGGATAGGGACATCAGAACTGTATACAGGGCTCAACTGTAAAAGGTTGATCTCAGCATGACTCCCTGTCAAATTAAAGGTTAAATAAATAATAAAGATGTCTAAAATGGGTTGACTTTGAATTTTGGTCAGACTATATTAAATGGGGCTCTCACATGTAGCAAGACATAATAACCATAGATCTGGCATTGGCAATAGCCTTGTCTGGCTGGAATATCTCTCAAGTAGCTTCTCCTTTGCTAGCTAGCTTCCAGATGGCATAGATGTCAGGTTGTGCAGCTAAAGTTAGTTAGTTAGAACTAAACCACAGTGTCGTTTCTGAACAGTCAGTGCTGGACCTTGTGAACGCAGGGGATGTGAAGATCTCTGGAGAAACAGTCACGCACACATCGCGACAGCCATGTTGTTGACAGTTACTTACCTAATGCCGGTGGGAACTGATTTTGTGTAGCACAAAGTGTGATACTTCCGTTTGGGTACTTCCGGTTATTTTATTACGTAAATACATTGTAGCAATCAGTGATTAATTGTATCAATAGCTAGGTTTCCATCCAATTGGCGACAGATTTTCATGTGAACATTCTCAAATCCGCATAAAGAAAACATGGGCATTTTCCCTCTAGTGGTTTGTTTCCACCAAACTGATTTTTCGCGCAAGTTTTCATGTACCTAATAAAATCTCAAGATTAATGTGTTTCCATCGCATTTTCAACTCTACCGATAGTTTTGTCACAAAAACTGTTGCGTTAAATAGCAAATGTGCTTACTCTGGTCTTGACACATGCGCTCTAGCCAACATCTCGCAGATACAGTGCGGGTAGCCAAATCTACATGATGAGATTATTATGGATAAATGCGACAATATTTGTATTTGTCAAACGGCAGTCAAGCATCGATCATCATGTCACCAGAATAAGACCCTCGATATTTATTGGAAAGGAGCATCAAGCTCATAGCGTGTACTTTCAAGACCCTGTGAAGTTAATCATAATTTACTTCATCTGTAGCCTAATAAACTGTATAGTTTGCCGAGTCATAGTGGGAGGACCACACCGGTCGCGTGACTCCCAAATTTGCTTCGATATTATGGTTATTATATCAGTATTTGCGCATAAAGGCGTTTCCAACGCCATTTCTCGCATAATACATTTTACTGACACAAAAAAATCTCACCATGTCCAATGAACTAATTATCTGTTGGCATTTATAAAATTGTACCGAAACTCCGTTTCCATCACAGCTGTCCTGATTTTTTTAAAAATACAATATTACTTTACTGGCATGAAAACTGTGGATGGAAACGTGGTTAAGGCAGAATTTTGGAGGATGATAATTTGCATGTGGTAAAATTAAGCAATAATGCCCGAGGAAGTTTGGTGCTACATGGTCAACCCGACTTCTGCAATGACCATGCAGCATTTACACTGATATGGCCTCTGCAGAAGTCAGGGCATTCATACTTCTTGCGCTTCACAGAGCTGTTGTAGAGGAAGTTGTCAAGGAAGTCAGTTTCTGTTTATACAGGACCGACTGTCCTCACCTACCGTCAACCAATCATGTCAATGCGGAGCTATATGGAGCCCTCCACATTGTTACACAATTTGAGAGACGAACAGCGATGCGGTATGGAGCTCAAGGTAAGGAGCTCAATTTGGCCTCTGCGTGCCTCTGGGGGCTCGCAATTGCGTCCCACCATCCATACGGCGCCTCCGAACACATTTTCGGATCAAGCATAAATTGGCTCTTAGCTGTGGTATATTGGCCATATACCACAAACCCCCAATACATAATAAAGCACATAAAAAGTATCTAGTTCTATTAATCTGGAAATAGTTTCCAATGATGGACATAATTATGGCCCTATATCTGATACACATGTGAAGCAAGCTTGCATTAAGAGTTGTCTATATATATATTGGATTTATATCGCAAACAAAACTGCAAGAAAAAGATTGGACAAGAACAAGCAGCTCTGCCATTGATTAATTCGCCTGAATACCAAAGGAGAGTGCCCGCCCGTGTGTTGTTCTGCGTGCGTGCGCGCCCCCTACTGTGGGACAAGCAAGAGTCGCAAGTTGGATTACATTGTAAATAGAAAGCAGGAGAATCATTCGCCCATGTCGTAAATATACATTTCAAATTACCTTCGACTGAGTACATGTAATAATTAGCTAATTGTGTATTTGCTGAAACAGTCATATCGGTGTTTTTGAGGAATTACAAGGGATTTAAAGCAGAATAAATAGCTATGTATCGGTCTCTGTATGCCTTCCGATCTGCGGAGCCCAACTCGCTCCACTTCGGGGCGGGTGAGAGCTTTCTGATCCTGGAACGCAGCAACAAACACTGGTGGCTCGGCTCGCGCTGCAGTTCGGGCGAAACCGGCTACGTTCCCGCTTCTTACATCGAAAGGATTCAGGTAGGTTTAACCATGGTTTCTTAACATAACTTTATTGATTAGTGAAAGTGGAACGTGGATTTTGACAAGTAGGTCTTCCACGCTAGCTTGTTAGCATGATAAAAGAGAGTGGACCACAGTCAGTCAGATAATGTAACGATCGGGGAGAGGTCCAATTGCTGCGTTGCATTCCAATAGACCTGATTTAAGCTACTTTTGTGACTTTCTTTCACGTGACAGTCCTCGGTGAACGGGAGACATGCTAGATAGAGACTGAGAACATTTTGCTCTGCTGCATTGCCTGTGTCCTTTGCTCAGTTTTTTTATAGGCTTTTCGCTGCATATTAACAGTATTTTCCATATGCAACATGACACTGTTATATGTGGACGTTTACATGTAAACTAAAATATGTTTCCAGAATAAACCCAAATGGTCTAATCAGAGAGGCATGGCAAATTCGCAATGCCAGCTGGGTCTGTACCGCAGGGGTAGTTGGGACATAAGCCAAAAATGCATTAACAAATGTGGCGACGCATCTGTTATTTGTGTGTCACGCGTCTAAAATCTCGTGACTGATGATGAGATTAGAGTAAATACAGTACGTACATAGGATACATTGCTTTTAATCAGATAACACCAATAAAAACTGTAATCTAATCTAATTTCTTATGCTTTCTATGGGGAGAGCTCAATTAGAAGAGCTATGCATAGTTTGTGACAACTCAGGCCTTTCAGATCAATGCCCGCATCCCATATTCCATACAGCTACACAGCTGGATTCTCCAATGCACTTTTATTTGTGTCAATGAGTTCTCAGTGTGAACTGCATGAGTGTGTTTTGCTGAAATTGTGTATTGTGTATCTGATTTTGTGAAATGAAACCACGCTGAAGCAGAGCGATATTCAGTCAGTGTGGATTCCACACTGTGCAGCAGGATTTGCTGTCTGACTGTGTCCTTGCCTAGGCCATGTAGGTGAGGTCAGGCTAGGTGTCTGCCTGTATCTGGACTGCGTTGGTTGGCGTGTTACTGTTCAGAGGGTTTGATTTTGGTTGGATAACCATGCTGTCCTAGTTTTTTCTGCCTGGAGTCCCATTTTGCCCTCCAGACAAATGTTTTGTTTGTTTTTGTTTCCTTGTTTCAAAATAATTAATGCTGATATTGAATATTTAACTCTCTCTCTCTCTCTCTGCCCTCCTTTTCTCTCTGCCCCAGGCTCCAGAGCAGGATGAGGTTTTACAGTCTATCGACAGGGCCATCGAAGGGATCCATAACATGGCCATGAAGAACGGGGGCAAATACAACCTGGAGCAGCGAGACATGCTACAGTGAGTGCAACATGAATACACACACAGTCACATACTGATGTGTAGAATCCTCATGCAGCAGTTCCCTGATTGGTGCTGATTCCTGATCATCATAGGGTGGCAGGTAGCCTAGTGGTTAGAGCGAATACCCGAGCCGACAAGGTGAAAAATATGCCGATGCGCCCTTGAGCAAGGCACTTAACCCTAATTTGCTCCAGGGGTGCCGTAATACTATGGCTGACCCTGTAAAACAACACATTTCACTGCACCTATCTGGTGTATGTGACAATAAATACAAATAAATAAACCTGCATGGTTTCTCTCTGATCAGTTATCTTCATAGGCTGCATCTGAAATGACCCCCTATTCATTACATAGTAAGATGTAGTAAGATTAAATTACATTTCAGACATAGCCATTGACTCTCTCTTTGCGTCTGGAACAGGAAGTTGATCCATCACAGGAAGGAGACCCTGTCAAGGCGAAGTCCAACTCCATCCGGTCCTAAGCAGGGCCTGCCCTCCTCTACCAGCGAACTGTCCCTCAGCCACACCCCGCAACCACCCAATGGGATCAGCCGCACAATGTCAGAGAGTACCGACAATGTGCAGGGGCTTTACCAGGTATTGGATAGAGACTTGCATTCGTACGCACCTGAAGAAGAATACATGATAGTCCATTTTTTGAGAAGGCTGAGACATATAACTGATATCCTGATATTTACTCTGATTTAATGTTATCTCTTGCAGGTGCCTCCTCAGCCCCGTCGTGCAGCACCCATAACTCCACCCCCTCCTGAGAAACTAAGAGCCAGCCGACGCCCAGGTGACTCTCACCATCACCATGGAGACACACATCTTCTTTCCACACACACACTCACACATTCTCACACACACACACACACACACACACACACACACACACACTACTCATGCCATCTACTGCAACTTCTACACTGACTCTATTCTCTCTCGCTCCTCCTTATTCTTCCTCATTCTCTCTTTCTCAGCAGAGTCATCCATTCCTCCTCCTCCTGGCCTCGCCCCTGCTGCAGGGACTGGCCTGTCCCCCTCTGTCAGCTCCGCCTCCCTGGACTCTGGTTCCTCCCACTCCGTGGTGTCCTCTGATGTCAGCCTTCCAAGCGTTGCCAGCACCCCGCCCCCAGTGCCAAGCCGTGTGAAGCCCCCGCCCCCTCCTCCAGACGACCTACCTCCCTCTGACCCCTCTCCCCAGCCAGCTCCCTCAAAGAAGGGCCCCACACCCCAACCTCAACCTCAGCCCACTCCCCCACCACAGCCCAGCACAGAGGACCAATCAGAAACCGACTGGCCTCTTGCCCCGCCCTCTGTCGCTGAAAGCCCCCCCGGCAGCCCCACTCACTCAGAGCCTGTCCCCGGGACAACAGGGGCAGAGCTTATTGAGCTGGTGAGGAGGAACACGGGCCTGAGTTACGATCTGTCTCGTGTAGCGGTGGGTGTGGTCGTGGGTCACCTGCAGACAACCTTACCTCAAGCCTCATCTGCCTTAGAGAAAGTCCTCCTCTCATTGGTAGAGAGCAAGGTCAGTTACATAACCGTCTAGTAGCAACTTACTTGCTCCAATACACAGTATTTCATGTTAGAAGTGTGTTATAACCTCAACCTTTAGAAAGTGAAGTTGTTATACGTGCACATTATACTTGTACATAACAGGAAAGTCTGCAAATTAAAATGCTCTTTATACTAACTATAACAGTGACAACGTTTCAATCCGATGTGGATCTTCGTCAGGTCAAACAGATTCCATTTGCACATAACATACCCCATAATAACCCCAACCTCTTCCTGTAGGATCAGAGTTCGGTGTTGCCACAAGGACAAGTGTGTCACGATGAACAGCGCCTGGAGGTCATCTTAGGCGACCTTGCCCGTCACGTTGACGACTCTCAACAGCGCAGCTGGGCCCTTCACGAAGACCACTCTCTCATCGCATGTTACTTGGAGGAGCTGCTGAAGATACTGGTGAGATACGTGCACTCAGGGACAGTTGACTCAGGACTGGCATCTGGGTTGTATTCACTAGACGCCAAACAGAAGAAAACGGACCGAAACGGGAAGGGACTGCCTGAATGTGTCCAATAAGAAACGCTTGTCTTCCTTTTTAGTTGCAAAATGTTTTGCTACGGTGTGCACTAATGAATACAACCCTGGACAAAGAGATTCCTTGATAGATGTGATAGTATTACCACTGATACTTTTGGTAACTGTTGAATCTAAGGAAGAGGGTGTTTGTGTCCACAGACGGATGCAGATCCAGAGGTGTGTAAGAAGATGTGCAGGGTCAACCACTCGGAGCCAGTGCTGTCACTAGTGACCTATTACCAGATGGTAAGATATTCTACATGTCACTCACTACCAGATCCTTAACTCTGTGTTACCCTGTCATACTGTTTCCCACCCAAGAGGGCCACAATGTAAAAAAGCCTTCAGACTTATTTTTAAATATGTTGTTTGTGGTATGAATTAACTTAATTATCATAGATGAGTGATGTTTCACCGGCGTGTTGGAAACGCATAGTTGCATAGTAACGGTGTTACTTCCTTTGTCACTGTGCAGGAACACAGAGTGTCTCTACGCCTGCTGTTGCTCAAGGTGTTTGGGGCGATGTGTAGCCTGGACTCTACCCTCATCTCCACCCTCCTCAACTCCATCCTGCCTATGGAGCTGGCCAGAGACCTGCAGACAGACACACAGGGTGAGGAGGCCTCCTCTATCACTTCCTTTTCTCTCTCTCTCTCTTTTTTCTCTCTCACTGTGACCTTTGTCTCCTTCCTCATGTCTTTCTGTTTCAGTCTATTTTATTTAGCATCCCTTTATATCTTTTTCATGAATGTTTGTGTGTCTGTGTTTTATCTCTCCCCAGAACATCAGAAGATGTGTTACACAGCCTTGGTCCTGACTATGATCTTCTCTATGGGGGAGCAGGTGCCCTATCACCACTATGGTATGAGCAACATTAAATAGGACCACTATATTGCTTTAGAATCCTTACAAATTGCCATCACATTATCGATCAATATGTCCAAACTCAAAGGTGAAAATGTAACTCTCTCTATCTCTTTATTTTTCTCTCTCTCTCTCTGTTTATCTCTCCCTCCACAGAGCACTTAAATGCTAGTTTTGTTCAGTTCCTGCTAGATGTGGTTGAGGACGGTCTTCCCTCTGACCCCACAGAACAGCTCCCTGACCTCTGTGTCAACCTCATCCTGGCCTTTAACCTGCACCTCATAGGTGAGAGGACACAGGCTTTAGACAGAGCAAACACCTTTTATTTTACAGGGGTACTTCACTGCTCTTATTCATGATCTGCAGCTCCATACCAGTTCGACGTGAAAACAGTGATTTTCTATGTCCTGTATTTAATCAATATGAGGTTAAAAATTGGTGAAGGGGAATGTTCCCTATTGACTGCTTTATGTATTATGGCAAAGGGGACCCAAGCGTTCTTTTGAGAGTTTTAAATGACTTTTACTTTGTGTGTTTTACCTATGAGGTGTGGTATTTGTGGTAGTGTAAAGTGTATGTTGTTTCAAGGTTTGAATATTCTTTCTCTCTTTCAGTGCCCAGCAGCAACGTGATAATGCAGACTGTGGTCAAGAAGAACGTGAAGATCTTCTCTGAGAAAATAGTGCTTCTACTAAACAGAGGAGGCGAGACACACCTTTGTTTACATGGGTTTTATTCAATACAATACAGTTTGAATCCATTCTCAGTCCTTTTTCACTTTCCTCTCTCTGTCTACATACTCTTACTTGTTATTTCTCTCCTCTCTCCAGATGACCCTGTGTGTGTCTTTAAACATGCTCCCCCTGCCCCACATTCAGTACTTAAGTTCCTGCAGGATGTCTTTGCCAGCCGAGACTCTTCAGACATCTTCTACCGCACGGATATGATGGTGATGATAGACATCGCTGTTCGATGCATCTCTGACCTCTCACCTGGGGACAAGGTGACACTGATATGCACGCACACACACACACACACACACACCTCTTCCCATTGGCCAGACAGCCTGGGACCTAAGCATGGCTGAGTCTTATGTTTGGCTTGATAAATGCATCCTCAAAAGGAAAGTGAACGTGAACTGTATAATGACTGTGCTTGCTAATGGCCTCACATTCTCTTCATCTCTTTCTCTCTCTCTCTCTCTCGTTTCCCTCCCTCCAGTTGAGGATGGAGTACCTCTCCCTCATGCACTCCATCATGCGCTCCACAGACTACCTGGAGCACCGGCACCGCCTCTCCGACCTGCAGGGCGCACTGCAAAGAATTCTGGGAGAAGAGGACGACTCAGGAGTGGACGAGGGCGGGGCCACAGCCAAACAGATGGATAAGCTAATAGTGCAGGAGATCTACAAGGAATTCCCTCAGATCAGCGAGAGCTAGGAGGACTGAATATGAATATGACAGTGGTGATATGCACTCATCCAGTAGTCTGCTCCTTTATACTGAGGGATGGTACTGTGGAACTTCCTAGGATTAAGAAAGGACTGTAGTCAGCTACTTAGTTTCTGAGATAACATACTGTTACACTTGACTTGAACCCTCCATCATAAGGGCTATACAACACTTTTACAATCATGAGATAAGAGATGTCATTAACACCAGCTGTCATGGCTGTTTATTACATCTGTTATGTAATGATTATGACAATGTTATGTAGCGATTATGTAGGCCTTATGAGTCCTAGGGCTGGCACAAATATCCTACATTCATGTAACCGACAAATTATGGACAATAACCGTGAACTTAAAAAAATAACCGTCATAATCGTTTTAATGCATTCATTTAAGGAGAAGGGGCGATTCAACTTCATATTTTTGTAGATATAGTTCACCTAATAGCAGTTTTTAATTTTTACATGAAGTGGGTAAAGTTGGTAATCCTTTTACGAGCAGAACGTAATGGCCGGAAGGAGAAGCTTTATTTCCAGAAGTTCCAAGCAGTCAAAACCATTCGTTTTTTTAACAGGAATGTCACCAAAGCTGTGTTGTATTCATTAGGTATGTCGTAGCTTATTTTCAAAGATGCTTTATGATTCGTTACAAGCTCAAAACATTTTTCAACAAAAATGACAAATATGACAATAACCGTGGACATTTGCATGGCAATGAATCGTTACCTAAAAGTACATAATCGTCACAACCTTACTTATGACGGAGGGTTCTTGATTGTGTTACCCAGCAACACTCCCTTGTGCTCCAAATGTGATCCCTTGTACTGAGGGGCCAGACTACAGTGTTTTACGTAGGGCCTTGTAACCCTGGTACTAGTGTACTGTATTCTGTAGATCAGTGGTTCTCAACCCTGGTCCTCTCCTAGGGACCCCAAGGGTTGCACATTTTAGTTTTTGCCCTAGCACTACACAGCTGATTCAAGTGATCAACTCATCATCAAGGTTTGATTATTTTAATCAGGTGTGTAGTACTAAGGAAAAAACTAAAATATGCACTATTTTGGTCCCCAGGACCAGGATTGAGAACCACTGCTGTAGATGACTTCTTTCTTTGTCTATCCATATGTCTTTATCACTCATTCTTATTCGTCACCACATGGCATGGCCTCACAGTATGTTACTAAGATAGTTCAATGAAATGAAAAGACAAATAGGCTAATACACTGACAACAAAACATTCTGGGCTGGTTTCCTGAACACGGATTAAGCCTAGTTCTGGACTAAAAAGAATGCTCAGTGGAGAATCTCCATTGACTAGGCTTAATCTGTGTCTGGAAAACCAACCCTCTCTCAACAAGACATTCTAGGCTTTGAGGTTAGTTTAAAACTCACTATTTATTGCAATGGCAATGCTGCTACGTGGTGAGCCTCACTTTACTTAATATCTATGGCTGTGATTGTCTGACTGAGCACTATTTGTTACCTTGCTTTCTGCCCTACACTTGATCTACAGTAACCTCCTCTTTAGGCATGGCTAACCTATGACATGCTCTAAATTCTTCCCAACCAGACCGCTCCTACTCTGCTCTGCTGCTTGTGCTGTAGATGGAACATAACAGTACTGTAATAACAAGGCCGTACCAAGTAACAACAAGCTGTAACACGTCGCTTCTTACATACTAAGCCTTGACTAACTTCCTATATGGCTATGGCTCTGTGAAAGGGAATGGTGTTTCCACTGGTAGTTATTTATTAGTACGAAATAATAAGGGATTGATATGTTTCGATTGTTCAGTATTACTTCAACTGCAGTCTGGGGTTAACTAAGTGATTTGTCACCAAACGCGATTGATTGCTTTTCCTTGATCATTTTGGTACGAAATCTATCTATCAGTTATCAGTACCGTCCTTAAGATGGCACTCCACTCTGCCCCCTATTATATAATTCAACCCCTTACTATAGTACCCCTGAGAATCACTACAAGACACAAAGGGCATCTTCTTAGTTTCCACAAGTTTTGCACGACACACATCCAGTTTTTTCACATTGCAACTCTCACTCTCTTAGTGACTTCTAAGTCACTGTCTCCCACTCTATCAAAGCTTTTTCTCCCTTGTATCATAGGTTATTTTTACACGGCTCTGTTAGAGCAAATAGGGGAAGCGTTTCTGTGGCAAAATGTTCTAATGGCCATCATGATACACATATACTGTACCGTTTAACACACACTTAAAAGGAAGTGTTTACTTATTTAAAAATGGGATATAGCAGAGTGTACTCTGTGACATATGTGTTTTTATTATCCTGTGTTCATGCATAAAGCTATGCATGTGTGTGAGTGTCTACATACGGTTTGTGTATATTTTTGTAAGTGTGAGCAGGTGTATGTGTATGGTTTCCTGTTGTTTTGTCATTGTCCCTGTATGTTTGCACCACCTTTGCCCCTTAAAGCCACTACTGTGTTATAGTAATAAAACCAATTGAACTATTTCCCCAATTAAATATATTTGAAATGGTTGTTCAGAGAGAGGCGATGGTAAGAAAGTGTATTTTCTTAATGTTTACAATCAACTAATAAACAAACATCTCAATGAATGGTGGTCCAGTTTTGTTTGTGTGTGTGTGTGCTGTACTTGTTTTGGATTTAAATAAAACAAGATTTGTTTTAGGGAGGGGCATCCTTAGCAATACCAAGTATTTGAATTTGAAATAGTATTTGTAGAAGTATGTCCAAGAAGTGCATACAAATGATTACTGTAGTGTAGGCTTACAAATAATATGGAGAGTTGATAGTCGGACACTAAATTGAAGAGGGACCAAAGCATATGTGTAACTGCTTACTCGGTCCGGGCACATATCTGGGTGAAAGGTCCGCACTGGATAACACGACGGTGGATGTCAAGAAAATATAGCTACCTCTCATTTGAATCGATAGTGGTAACGACGCAACATTTTGTGTGTTTCTTTTCTTGTTAGCTAGCTGTCTTTTCTTGAACAGAAACCATGTCTAAACAGCAGGCGATAAGCCCAGGGAAGAACTTCTTCGCTGGGGGCTTTGGTGGTGTCTGCTTGGTCTTCGCTGGACATCCACTTGATACCATAAAAGTAATTATTTATTTATCGCAAAGTAACTCATTGCTCATCTAGCTAGCTAGCTAAGTTAATAACAAAGTAGCTAACTGCTATTATCTTGCCTCCTGTGCTTGCCTCGCGAGACTAACTTTCATTGGTCTCTGCTGCTTGCAGCATTCCTAGGAAAGTAATCAATACAAATTTATCTTTAGAGATGTATAATTGGTTACTGGATGTTAGTGTCGTTGTTCTTTAAATTTGATAGAACTCATGACATGGACTGTCAGTTGACACAATGAGCGCTTCACTGAGCTGTAGTGTTGTGCAGTTTGCGAACGATTCGTTATTTTTGAGCGACTTTTTACTGACTCGAGAGTCATGATTCGTTTTTTCCGAGTGACTCCTTCATTTTAGTCCTTCATTCTACCTGCTGGCCCAACCTGGTGTCAGAGCATTTCGTATTATTATGTACTTAAATCTGGAACCAACTGTTACGTTTCGTATGGTATGTATTACTTTGTGGCTGTCCATCACCCATTTCGTATGATATGTTGAGAATTACAATTCATATTATATGTTACGAATTTGCAAAATGCATGATATTAGCTAGCTGGCTAACGTTAGCTAGGCTAGGGGTTACAGTTAAGTTTAGGAGGTAGGTTAAAGGGTTAGTGGAAGGGTTAGTTAACATGCTAAGTAGTTGCAAAGTAGATAAAAAAGTTGTTAGTACTGGAAAAGTTGCTAATTAACTAAAATGCTAAAGTTGTCCGTGATTAAATTTGAACTCGCAACCTTTGGGTTCACGTTATACGCCCACACCCACCCACCCACCCACCCAACAAACAACCCTACTTTTGCTTTTGCCTTAAGTAACCATCTGTTATATCATACTATACAGAACAACAATATAAACACAACATGTAAAGTGTTGGCCACATGTTTCATGAGCTGAAATAAAAGATCCCAGAAATGTCTCTAAAATTTTGTTTAAATCCCTATTGGTGAGCATTTCTCCTTTGCCAAGATAATCTGTCCACCTGACAGGTGTGGCATGTCAACAAGCTTATTAAACAGCATGGTCATTACACAGGTGCACCTTGTGCTGGGGACAATAAAAAGCCACTCTAAAATGTGCAGTTTTGTCACACAACACAATGCCACAGATGTCTCAAGTTTTCAGGGAGCATGCAATTGGCATGCTGACTGCAGGAATGTCCACCAGAGCTGTTGCCAGAGAATTTAATGTTAATTTCTCTACCATAAGCTGCCTCCAACGTAGTTTTAGAGAATTTGGCAGTACGTCCAACCGGCCTCAAAACCGTAGACCACCTGTAACGACGCCAGCCCAGGACCTCCACATCCGGCTTCTTCACCTGCGGAATCGTCTGAGACCAGCCACCTGGACAGCTGATGAAACTGAGGAGTATTTCTGTCTGTAATAAAGCCCTTTTGTGGGGATAAACTCATTCTGATTGGCTGGGCCTTGCTCCCCAGTGGGTGGGCCTATGCCCTCCCAGGTGCACCCTTGGTTGGGCCCCTGCCCAGCCATGTGAAATTCATAGATTAGGGCCTCATTTATTTATTTCAATTGACTGATTTCCTTATATGAACTGTAACTCAGTAAAGTCGTTGAAGTTGTTGCATGTTGTGTTTATATTTTTGTACAGTATAATTTCAACTTCCTGGATTTACATTTACTATGTTACGTCTAGTCTATGCGACCAGGCTGTCTGGCCGCAATCAATTCTACAGCAGGATTAATAATTCTCTAGAGTCTAAAACAATTGGGGGTGGGGGTTATAAAATGAAATATGGAATTGTTTTAAGATGGTCATACCATGGATAATTTAGCTATTTGGTTTGGAATTTTAGGACCCCTTTAGGTATGAAAAATTTAAAAAATGATTTGTTAAATATAGAATTGAGCTTTTAGTACAAAATCCAATAGACACACATTGAATAACACGTTCATAAATGGCAAAAAAGACAGTCAAAAAAGAAATCATAAAGAATAAGGTTTTGACGAGTCTGTCCTATATCTAGGAGATATAAGAAAGCTCAGGAAATATATATATATACAGTTGAAGTTGGAAGTTTACATACACTTAGGTTGGAGTCATTAAAACTCGTTTTTCAACCACTCCACACATTTCTTGTTAACAAACTATAGTTTTGGCAAGTCGGTTAGGACGTCTACTTTGTGCATGACACAAGTAATTTTTCCAACAATTGTTTACAGACAGATTATTTCACTTATAATTCACTGTATCACAATTCCAGTGGGTCAGAAGTTTACATACACTAAGTTGACTGTGCCTTTAAACAGCTTGGGAAATTCCAGAAAATGATGTCATGGCTTTAGAAGCTTCTGATAGGCTAATTGACATCATTTGAGTCAATTGGAGGTGTACCTGTGGATGTATTTCAAGGCCTACCTTCAAACTCAGTACCTCTTTGCTTGACATCATCGGAAAATCAAAAGAAATCAGCCAAGACCTCAGAAAAAAAATTGTAGACCTCCACAAGACTGGTTCATCCTTGGGAGCAATTTCCAAATGCCTGAAGGTACCACGTTCATCTGTACAAACAATAGTACGCAAGTATAAACACCATGGGACCACGCAGCCGTCATACCGCTCAGGAAGGAGACGCGTTCTGTCTCCTAGAGATGAACGTACTTTGGTGCGAAAAGTGCAACTCAATCCCAGAACAACAGCAAAGGACCTTGTGAAGATGCTGGAGGAAACAGGTACAAAAGTATCTATATCCACAGTAAAACAAGTCCTATATCGACATAACCTGAAAGGCCGCTCAGCAAGGAAGAAGCCACTGCTCCAAAACTGCCATAAAAAAGCCAGACTACGGTTTGCAACTGCACATGGGGACAAAGATCGTACTTTTTGGAGAAATGTCCTCTGGTCTGATGAAACAAAAATAGAACTGTTTGGCCATAATGACCATCGTTATGTTTGGAGGAAAAAGGGGAAAGCTTGCAAGCCGAAGAACACCATCCCAACCGTGAAGCACGGGGGTGGCAGCATCATGCTGTGGGGGTGCTTTGCTGCAGGAGGGACTGGTGCATTTCACAAAATAGATAGCATCATGAGGAAGGACAATTATGTGGATATATTGAAGCAACATCTCAAGACATCAGTCAGGAAGTTAAATCTTGGTCGCAAATGGGTCTTCCAAATGGACAATGACCCAAAGTGTACTTCCAAAGTTGTGGCAAAATGGCTTAAGGACAACAAAGTCAAGGTATTGGAGTGGCCATCACAAAGCCCTGACCTCAATCCTATAGAACATTTGTGGGCAGAACTGAAAAAGCGTGTGCGAGCAAGGAGGCCTACAAACCTGACTCAGTTACACCAGCTCTGTCAGGAGGAATGGGCCAAAATGCACCCAACTTATTGTGGGAAGCTTGTGGAAGGCTACCCAAAACGTTTGACCCAAGTTAAACAATTTAAAGGCAATGCTACCAAATACTAATTGAGTGTATGTTGACTCAAATTATGTAAATTAGCCTATCAGAAGCTTCTAAAGCCATGACATCATTTTCTGGAATTTCCCAAGCTGTTTAAAGGCACAGTCAACTTAGTGTATGTAAACTTCTGACCCACTGGAATTGTGATACAGTGAATTATAAGTGAAATAATCTGTCTGTAAACAATTGTTGGAAAAATTACTTGTGTCATGAACAAAGTAGATGTCCTAAACGACTTTTCAAAACTATACTTTGTTAACAAGGCATTTGTGGAGTGGTTGAAAAATGAGTTTTAATGACTCCAACCTAAGTGTATGTAAACTTCCGACTGTATATGTATATATATATATATATATATATATATATATATATATTTGCAAGAGAAAAAAATACATATGGGGGATTGGAAGTGATGCAGACAATTACATTGATGGAAGTTACAATTTATCTGCAATATTAAAGCTGATCAAACAAAAACAGAGGTACCTCTGCTGCAGAGGATTAGTTCATTAGAGTTAACTTGCACCTCAGAAATTGCAGCCCATATAAATGCTTCCCAGAGTTCAAGTAACAGACACATCTCAACATCAACTGTTCAGAGGAGACTGCATGAATCAGGCCATCATGGTTGAATTACTGCAAAGAAAACACTACTAAAGGACACCAATAAGAAGAAGAGACTTTCTTGGGCCAAGAAACACGAGCAATGGACATTAGACCGGTGGAAATCTGTCCTTTGGTCTGATGAGTCCAAATTTGTGCTGCATCAGATGACCTGGCCTCCACAATTACCCGACCTCAACCCAATTGAGATGGTTTGGGATGAGTTGGACCGCAGAGTGAAGGAAAAGCAGCCAACAAGTGCTCAGCATATGTGGGAACTCCTTCAAGACTGTTGGAAAAGCATTTCTCATGAAGCTGGTTGAGAGAATGCCAAGAGTGTGCAAAGCTGTCATCAAGGCAAAGGGTGGCTACTTTGAAGAATCTCAAATATAAAATATATTTTGATTTGTTTAACACTTTTTTGGTTACTACATGATTCCATATGTGTTATTTCATAGTGTTGATGTCTTCACTATTATTCTTGTCACGGTTTTGGCCGAGACTGCTCCTCCTCCTGGTTCGGGCAGGCTTCGGCGTTCGCCTTCCCCGGAGTACGAGCTGCCACCGTTGAATTTTTCGTGGTGTGATTGCTTTGGTCTGTCTTGTACACCTGTGTCTGTTTGTGTTCTGATTACGTGTCCTATAAGTTCCCTGTTTTGTATTGGTTAGATTGTGTGTTGTTGTCTGCCTGTATTTCGGAGCTGCGTGTTGACGCTCTGTTTGTTTGTTTAATGTTTACGCATGGTTTACGTATTCACTCGCCTCTGTTTGTTTCGAGGCTGTGTATTGGATTTTTTGCACTTTTGACTAGTAAAGTCTGTTGGACGAAGCCTCTGTGTCCTGCGCCTGACTCCTCCACCACATCCACATCGGTTCATCTGACAATTCTACAATGTAGAAAATAGTAAATATAAAGAAAAACCTTTGAATGAGTAGATGTCAACTTTTGACTGGTACTGTATATATATAAGAATTGTTGTATTATTATTTGTAATTATTATTTACACATTTAACCCTTTTTTGGGGGTAGGCACAAAACGACCTCCATACTTCCATTCATTTTTTAAACCTGTACAGGTTACCTTCAGACGAGTCCCGGGACACTTAAGGGGGGAATCATAGAGCAAACTGGAGAACACCATCATGTTCGTGAGAATCTCCTCTTTCCACAGTGGGGTCACATTAGTTTGTAGCCCAAACGGGTCAGACCCGTCAAACTGTACCGACTTCAGACGGCTTATGGGGATGATAGAGCAAATAGGAGACCACCATTGTGTTCGTGACAGTATAATTAGTTTTAGTCCAAACCGTACAGCCGTTTTCGTGAGAAGACCGATTTTCAGGATGTCTCATGGTCTGACAATCACAGCTGTAGCTCAGTCACCTTCCACCTGCTGATATGGAAGGCCGCCATAGGCGGATGCAGTAGATTGAGACGCAGCCCATGCAGATATCTCTAGCTTAACCTGACCGGATTTCGATGGGTATTTTTTTATTAAGTTACTTATATTCACGCACTGATGCGTCAATAGACTCTAGGGGGTTTTAATATGCGCTCCTCTGGCTCAGCGGCTCTGGAGACATACTCTGACCAGCAACTGTCTATCATGTGCCCGAGGGAAAATAGATCATGCTGCATGAATACAATGAATTGATTATTTAATGTCATGATGGACAAAGCTTTGTAAAACCAAAACATACACAGCCTCTGTTCAACAAACTCACTCAAGAACGAATCGTTTGGGGGACAGCAGTTCGCGAACGATAGTGTGCCTAACACTCTCACGGCAGTCAAGCATTACATTCCGCCGAGAGTCGCTTACAATCTAGTCTGGTTGCGGCCACAACTAGACCTAGTTTCAAGAACTAATCTTATTTTTATGCCTAGCAATCAACAAATGTAGGCTACATTTTTTAAAGCACAAGTCTCAGTCACAAATGTCAGCTCGAATAAGCCCCCTATTGAGCAGAAGCCAGAAAAAAGTTGCACTGAAAGCCTTTGAGAGCTTGCTGGTCCTCGTCAGCCTACCAAAGGAAGATACTGCAGTGTGCCTGGCTGAAAGCACCCCACTGTGTCAGCTACTGGCTGAGCGGTTGTGTGAGTTCTACAGCCAGCTCCCGGCTACGCTGGAACCTGCAGACATCCACAGTTTCCCCCAGACCCACTGGAGGTGAGCTTAGTGGCCCAGAGCATGCAGGAGCCCTTACCGGTGAACGATGTACTGAAAACTCAATATAGTCATGATTCTACAAGCCTCTCGTTCACGCATTCACACAAGGGGCTTATTGGAGCTGTCATTTGTGACACTTGTAAAAGTGTGCTTTAAAAAACAATGTACATTTGGCATACAAATAAGATTATTTCTTGTTAATTGAAACGGATCTAGTTGTGGCCGCAACCTATGGAACGCCATTTGGGTCTTGGCGTGTCGAAAAAGATACACGTCGGTTGGGCTTGTTGACCAATCGCACATGGAATATGAGCACGTTGTATTCACTAACTGTAAGTCGCTCTGGATAAGAGCGTCTGCTAAATGATTAAAATGTAAAAAATGTAAATGTAAATGTAATGAATATGACTGCACGTCGCATAGTTTGACACGTTCATTGTTTTTTTGCGTAGTTACACATAGATTGCACTCACTAGTGTTTCATGTGTCACAGTGATTCACCAATGCGTGTGCTGTGATGCTGGTGGGGTTGTCTTGGGCGCGGACGCGCTTCGAGGCTCTGGGACAGTGCTGGTCATGGGAGGAGCTGGCTAGCTGATGGATGCAAACAATGTTCTTCCCCCAAAACATAGCAAAACGACGGTCTGTGTCAGTAGCTATAGTTAACTAACTATCTAGCTAGCTAGGTGTCATCATCTAAAATACCCCTAATTTTATAAAACAGTTCTTATTTGATTAATGATGGTCAGACCCACCTATGTGAGGCTAGACACAATAAGGATAAGCCACAATTTGCGGTTCGCCTTCAAAGTAAAAGTATCTAATTGAAAGTGATCCAAATGAATACAAATAGTGCCATAATTGAATAGATCATGCTATACGAGGTTGGAATGTTATATAAATCCAACAAAAGACAATTTGTTAATTTGATTAATCTGTTTCAATCAGACTGTGGATGTATTAGACTTTAGAATTGCATTGGAATCCTCTGTAGCTCAATTGGTAGAGCATGGCGCTTGTAACGCCAGGGTAGTGGGTTCGATCCCCGGGACCACCCATACATAAAAATGTATGCACACATGACTGTAAGTCGCTTTGGATAAAAGCGTCTGCTAAATGGCTTATTATTATTATTATTGTGAAGGACATGTGAACGAAATGCTGGGCAGGCCATTATTTTGGCTACCATGGCTATGCCCCATAGGAAGATAATGCCCCCATCCACAGGGCACCAGTGGTTACTGAATGGTTTGATGAGCATGAAAACAATGTAATCCATATACCATAGCCGTCTCAGCCACCAGATCTCAACCCAATTGATCACTTATCTGAGATTCTGGTGCGCCGCCTGATTCTAGAGCGGCGCCTGAGACAGCGTTTCCCACCACCACCATCTACAAAACACCAAATGATGGAATTTCTCATGGAAGAGTTGTGTCGCATCCCTCCAATAGAGTTCCAGACACTTGTAGAATCTATGCCAAGGTGCATTGAAGCTGTTCTGGCTTGTGGTGACCCAACGCCCTATTAAGAAACGTTATGTTGGTTATTTTGGCAGTTACCTGTATATGGCCATTTCTGTCATACTGCACTATATTAAGCCTATGACAGTGGCCAGTCATTACAGATGTATATCATCTGAGCCACTTATAGGAAATAAGAAATAAATGTTCCTCTATACAGAAGTAATATCATGTGTGTAGGCCTATATGGTGAGTGTGTTCATATCCTCCTCTCTCTTAGGTGCGTATTCAGACCATGCCTGTGCCCGGCCCTGGCGAGAGCCCCCTGTATAGAGGCACCTTTGATTGTTTTAAACAGACCCTTGCCAAAGAGGTGGGTAGTAGTAGCCTATGGCTTTCTGGGTAGTAGTAGCCTATGGCTTTCTGGGTAGTAGTAGCCTATGGCTTTCTGGGTAGTAGTAGCCTATGGCTTTCTAGGTAGTAGTAGCCTATAGCTTTCTGGGTAGTAGTAGCCTATGGCTTTCTGGGTAGTAGTAGCCTATGGCTTTCTGGGTAGTAGTAGCCTATGGCTTTCTGCTGTTGAATGTATTTGTTTTGTTCACCTCTCTTTGCTCTCTCTTTTTATTCATTCCTTCTCTCTCTCATTTTCTCTATTACAGGGGTTCAAAGGCCTGTATAAAGGCATGGCGGCCCCTATCATTGGAGTCACACCCATGTTCGCTGTCTGCTTCTTTGGCTTTGGCCTGGGCAAGAAACTACAACAGAAAACCCCAGACCAAGTCCTTACGTAGGTGAATGTTCCATAGTAGAGTGTCTTCACCCATTTTTATGTTGAAAGAGTGTGCGCGGGCATGTGTGTTGCGTGGGCGTATGGTTGTGTTTGTTTATGCGTATGGTTGTGTGTGTGTATGCATATGGTTGTGTGTGTGTATGCGTATGGTTGTGTGTGTGTATGCGTATGGTTGTGTGTGTGTATGCGTATGGTTGTGTGTGTGTATGCGTATGGTTGTGTGTGTGTATGCGTATGGTTGTGTGTGTGTATGCGTATGGTTGTGTGTGTGTATGCGTATGGTTGTGTGTGTGTGTTTGTGTGTTTGTGTTGTGCATAACCCCATCTGCTGTCCTTCTCAGGTATCCACAGCTGTTTGCTGCCGGGATGCTGTCAGGCGTGTTCACCACAGCCATCATGGCCCCTGGAGAACGCATCAAGTGTCTCCTACAGGTCAGAAACACACTTAAAGTACACCACGCACAACTGGGCTTAGGTTAACAGGCTTAAGTTAACCTAGGCCTGTTATCCTAAACCCAGTTAACGGAGATGGTTCAGTGAACCCCTCTCATGTGATTCAAAACCTTGCCTGAGTCCTGAAGACTTGTGCTTGCTCCCTGAGTTAATGCCTAGGCTTTAGCTCAGCATGCTAACACAGTCTTGTGGCATGCAGAAGTCCCGGGGTTTGAACCCAGTTGATTATGTAGCATGTGATGTGGATGTGTGTATAGATCCAGGCTGCCAGAGGGGAGGTGAAGTATGCTGGTCCCATGGACTGTGTGAAGCAGCTGTACAAAGAGAGCGGGATCAGGGGAATCTACAGAGGAACTGCTCTCACCCTCATGAGAGGTACTTCCTGACAGACTGAATATATATCCTATACCCCTGTCTCTAATATCTAACTCTACTGACTGACTGACTGAATATACAGTATATCCTATACCCCTGTCTCTAATATATAACTTTACTGACTGACTGAATATATATCCTATACCCCTGTCTCAAATATCTAACTCTACTGACTGACTATCTGAATATATATCCTATACCCCTGTCTTTAATATCTAACTCTACTGACTGACTGACTGAATATACACTACCCGTCAAAAGTTTGGACACACCTACTCATTCAAGAGTTTTTCTTTATTTTTACTATTTTTTACATTGTAGAATAATAGTGAAGACATCAAAACTATGAAATAACACATATGGAATCATATAGTAACCAAAAAAGTGTTAAACAAATCAACATACATTTTATATTTGAGATTCTTCAAATAGCCACCCTTTGCCTTGATAGGTAGTCACCTGGAATGCATTTCAACTAACAGGTGTGCCTTCTTAAAAGTTAATTTGTGGAATTTCATTCCTTAATGCGCTTGAGCCAATTAGTTGTGTTGTGACAAGGTAGGGGGTGTTTACAGAGGATAGCCCTATTTGGTAAAAGACCAAGTCCATATTATGGCAAGAACAGCTCAAATAAGCAAAGATAAATGACAGTCCATCATTACTTTAAGACATTAAGGTCAGTCAATCCGGAACATTTCTTTGAAAGTTTCTTCAAGTCCAGTCGCAAAAACCATCAAGCGCTATGATGAAACTGGCTCTCATGAGGACCGCCACAGGAATGGAAGACCCAGAGTTACCTCTGCTGCAGAGGATAAGTTCATTAGAGTTAACAGCACCTCAGAAATTGCAACCCAAATAAATGCTTGACAGAGTTCAAGTCACAGACACATCTCAACATCAACTGTTCAGAGGGGACTGTGTGAATCAGGCCTTCATGGTCGAATTGCTGCAAAGAAACCACTACTAAAGGACACCAATAAGAAGAAGAGACCTGCTTGGGCCAAGAAACACGAGCAATGGACATCCAAATTGGAGATTTTTGGTTCCAACCGCCGTGTCTTTGTGAGGCGCGGTGTGGGTGAACGGATGATCTCTGCATGTGTAGTTCCCACCGTAAAGCATGGAGGAAGAGGTGTTATGGTGTGGGGGTGCTTTGCTGGTGATTCATTTAGAATTCAAGGCAACTTAACCAGCATGGCTACCACAGCATTCTGCAGCGATACGCCATCCCATCTGGTTTGGGCTTAGTGGGACTATAATTTGTTTTTCAACAGGACAATGACCCAACACACCTCCAGGCTGTGTAAGGGCTATTTTAACAAGAAAGAGAGTGATGGAGTGCAGCATCAGATGACCTGGCCTCCACAATCCCCTTACTCAACCCAATTGAGATGGTTTGGGATGAGTCAAATGGCAGAGTGAAGGAAAAGCAGCCAACAAGTGCTCAGCATATGTGGGAACTCCTTCAAGACTGTTGGAAAAGCATTCCTCATGAAGCTGGTTGAGAGAATGTCAAAAGTGTGCAAAGCTGTCTACAAGGCAAAGGCTGGCTACTTTGAAGAATCTAAAATCTAAAATATATATTTCATTTGTTTAACACTTCTTTGGTTACTACATGATTCCATATGTGTTATTTTGTAGTTTTGATGTCTTCACTATTATTCTACAATGTAAAAAATAGTAAAAATAAAGAAAAACTCTTGAATGAGTAGGTGTGTCCAAACTTTTGACGGGTAGTGTATGTCTGTTTTGAAGTGTATGCAAATAGATTATACAAGTGGTTAGGCATTTTCAACATACAAATATTTCTTAAAAAGACTAGAAGAGAAGTAGTCAATTTCTCCTCAACCATGAAAGACTATCATGCATGCTGTTGATGTTAGTTCTGTGTGTGTGTAGAAAATAGTAAAAATAAAGAAAAACCCTTGAATGAGTAGGTGTGTCCAAACTTTTGACTGGTAGTGTATATCCTATACCCCTGTCTCTAATATCTAACTCTACTGACTGACTGACTGAATATATATCCTATACCCCTGTCTCTAATATCTAACTCTACTGACTGACTGACTGACTGACTGACTGACTGAATATACAGTATATCCTATACCCCTGTCTCTAATATACAGTGGGGGAAAAAAGTATTTAGTCAGCCACCAATTGTGCAAGTTCTCCCACTTAAAAAGATGAGAGAGGCCTGTAATTTTCATCATAGGTACACGTCAACTATGACAGACAAAATGAGAATTTTTTTTCCAGAAAATCACATTGTAGGATTTGTAATGAATTTATTTGCAAATTATGGTGGAAAATAAGTATTTGGTCAATAACAAACGTTTCTCAATACTTTGTTATATACCCTTTGTTGGCAATGACACAGGTTAAACGTTTTCTGTAAGTCTTCACAAGGTTTTCACACACTGTTGCTGGTATTTTGGCCCATTCCTCCATGCAGATCTCCTCTAGAGCAGTGATGTTTTGGGGCTGTCGCTGGGCAACACGGACTTTCAACTCCCTCCAAAGATTTTCTATGGGGTTGAGATCTGGAGACTGGCTAGGCCACTCCAGGACCTTGAAATGCTTCTTACGAAGCCACTCCTTCGTTGCCCGGGCAGTGTGTTTGGGATCATTGTCATGCTGAAAGACCCAGCCACGTTTCATCTTCAATGCCCTTGCTGATGGAAGGAGGTTTTCACTCAAAATCTCACGATACATGGCCCCATTCATTCTTTCCTTTACACGGATCAGTCGTCCTGGTCCCTTTGCAGAAAAACAGCCCCAAAGCATGATGTTTCCACCCCCATGCTTCACAGTAGGTATGGTGTTCTTTGGATGCAACTCAGCATTCTTTGTCCTCCAAACACGACGAGTTGAGTTTTTACCAAAAAGTTATATTTTGGTTTCATCTGACCATATGACATTCTCCCAATCCTCTTCTGGATCATCCAAATGCACTCTAGCAAACTTCAGACGGGCCTGGACATGTACTGGCTTAAGCAGGGGGACACGTCTGGCACTGCAAGATTTGAGTCCCTGGCGGCGTAGTGTGTTACTGATGGTAGGCTTTGTTATTTTGGTCCCAGCTCTCTGCAGGTCATTCACTAGGTCCCCCCGTGTGGTTCTGGGATTTTTGCTCACCGTTCTTGTGATCATTTTGACCCCACGGGGTGAGATCTTGCGTGGAGCCCCAGATCGAGGGAGATTATCAGTGGTCTTGTATGTCTTCCATTTCCTAATAATTGCTCCCACAGTTGATTTCTTCAAACCAAGCTGCTTACCTATTGCAGATTCAGTCTTCCCAGCCTGGTGCAGGTCTACAATTTTGTTTCTGGTGTCCTTTGACAGCTCTTTGGTCTTGGCCATAGTGGAGTTTGGAGTGTGACTGTTTGAGGTTGTGGACAGGTGTCTTTTATACTGATAACAAGTTCAAACAGGTGCCATTAATACAGGTAACGAGTGGAGGACAGAGGAGCCTCTTAAAGAAGAAGTTACAGGTCTGTGAGAGCCAGAAATCTTGCTTGTTTGTAGGTGACCAAATACTTATTTTCCACCATAATTTGCTAATAAATTCATTAAAAATCCTACAATGTGATTTTCTGGAATTTTTTTCCTCAATTTGTCTGTCATAGTTGACGTGTACCTATGATGAAAATTACAGGCCTCTCTCATCTTTTTAAGTGGGAGAACTTGCACATTTGGTGGCTGACTAAATACTTTTTTTCCCCACTGTATAACTTTACTGACTGACTGAATATATATCCTATACCCCTGTCTCTAATATCTAACTCTACTGACTGACTGAATATATATCATATACCCCTGTCTCTAATATCTAACTCTACTTGACTGACTGACTGAATATATATCATATACCCCTGTCTCTAATATCCAACTCTTTATCTAAAATCTAGATATTTTTGTTCAGTAGTGATTGTGTTATTAGACAACTGTGAGTTTGTGCCAGTGATTCTGACAGTCTGACTTTGTTTCTCAGACGTGCCAGCCAGTGGGATGTATTTCATGACCTATGAATGGTTGAAGCACCTCCTCACACCAGAGGGTAAGAGGTGAGTGTGTGTTTACTCTGTGTGTCTGTGTGCGCGTTTCTGCGTGTGTATGCAAGGGTTGGGGTCAATTTGACTTGAAGTCAGTCATTTCAGGAAGTAATCTGAAATTCCAATTCAATAATTGAAAAAAGGGCATCTACAGTGCCTTTGGAAAGTATTCACACCCCTTGACTTTTTCCACATTTTGTGTTACAGCCTGAATTTAGATATTCAACCCCTTTGTTACGTCAAGCCTAAATAAGTTCAGGAGTAAAAAGGTGCTTAACAAGTCACATAATATCTCATCTCTGTACCCCACACATACAATTATCTGTAAGGTCCCTCAGTCAAGCAGTGAATTTCAAACACAGATTCAACCACAAAGACCAGGGAGGTTTTCCAATGCCTTGCGAAGAAGGGCACCTATTGGTAGATATTATTATTTGTTATTTTTTTAACTGACATTGACTATCTCTTTGAGCATGGTGAAGTTATTAATTACACTTTGGATGGTGTATCAATACACCCAGTCACTACAAAGATACAGACGTCCTTCCTAACTCAGTTGCCGTAGAGGAAGGAAACTGCTCAGGGATTTCGCCATGAGGCCAATGGTGACTTTAAAACAGTAACAGAGTTTAATGGCTGTGATTGGAGAAAACTGAGGATGGATCAACAACATTGTAGTTACTCCACAATACTAACCTAATTGACAGAGTGAAAAGAAGGAAGGCTGTACAGAATAAAATATATTCCAAAACATGCATCCTGTTTGCAACAAGGCACTTAAGTAATACTGAAAATTGTGGCAAAGCAATTAACTTTTTGTCCTGAATGTTGCTGCTACCGTCTCTTATGACCGAAAAGAGCTTCTGGACATCAGAACAGCGATTACTCACCTCGAACTGGACGGAGATTTTTTCTTTAATGAGTCCGACGCGAAGGATATACTGCTTCCCCCGAGACCAGGCACAAATCCCTGTCATTCGTGCGAAGAAAAGACGGAAATACAGGGGGCGGAGGTTGGGGTGCCTTGTGAGAATTTGTCGGCAAGTGGGTAAACCCACCCGTTTGTTTTTACACTGCTGCTACTCGCTGTTTATTATCTATGCATAGTCACTTTACCCCTACCTACATGTACAAATTACCTCGACTAACCTGTACCCCCGCACATTGACTCGGTACCGGTACCCGCTGTATATAGCCTCGTTATTGTTATTTCATTGTGTTACTTTTTATTTTATTTTTTACTTTAGTTTATTTAGTAAATATTTTCTTAACTCTATTTCTTGAACTGCATTGTTGGTTAAGGGCTTGTAAGTAAGCATTTCACGGTAAGGTATACAGCTGTTGTATTCGGCGCATGTGACAAATACAATTTCATTTGATTTGAACCTAATTTCTTTTTTCTTTCCGTTCCACTGTTCCAACCAGCAAAATAAAGTTCTGAACCGGTTCAATCCCCCCAAAATAACCGGTTTATATTGTTCCTTTCTGTCAATTTTTTAAACTGTGAAATCAACATTTTACATTTAGCAAATTAAATTACTTCACCAATCAGTGCGGATAGAGCAGGCAAGGTAGTTGTTTACATGTGTGATGGACAGACAAGTGTAGCCTCTGGCACAAGATGTGACTGACATTTTATGGGTGGGGAGAGCGCGAGAGAGGGTTGAGGAGCAGGCTTAAAGCGCTAGGCATCTTGTTATGACATGCATTATCTGAATTAGGTCCACATAATTATAGCTAGGAGGAGCGGCTTCTATGAAGGAACTTTGAATGTCCTTTCAGCTAGCTAGCTAACAAGCTTGAGCTAGCAAGCTATCAAGCTTGTGTGTGCAGAGCGGCACCAGAATTAAAAACACGTATTACCTCTTTGTAGTTAATAAATCCAATTTGAAATGTGATACCTAGGCCTATAGTATCCTTAACTAGCATTGAAAAAGTTAATCCATTCTTCTCTAGCTAATAAAAAATCTCTCTCCCTATCTTCTCACGCTTCTAACGTCAGTACAGTAGCCTATGCTTCAGAGGGGCAGGTAGCCTAAACACGCACACACAATGGCAAAGATTTTCGCTTTCAGGCAGACGCTGGAATCCGTTTATGAGTCAGGGCTTTGCATAGGCGCTTTGTGGCATTTTTTTTTGTGGGACTCGAAAAAATAATCTGGAACGTTAAATAACATTGTTAACCGGTTTCCATGCTTTTAAAATAACGGTTCTGTTCCGGAACAGTATGGATCACTTTCGTTCACGGGTTCCGTTTCTGTTCCTTGAAAATGTTTGTTATTTTCTGGTTTTCGGTTCTGTTCCCTGAACCGGTTCCAACCCCTGGTCCTGAATACAAGTTGTTATGTTTGAGACAAATCCAATACAACACATTACTGAGTACCACTCTCCATATTTTCAAGCATAGAGGTGGCTGCATCATGTTATGGGTATGCTTGTAATCCTTAAGGACTGGGGAGTTTTTCAGGATTAAAAATAAACTAAATGGAGCTAAGCACAGGCAAAATCCTAGAGGAAAACCTGGTTCAGTCTGCTTTCCACCAGACACTGATGAATTCACCTTTCAGCAGGACAATACCCTCAATTGATTGGACATGCTTTGGAAAGGCACACACCTGTCTATATAAGGTCCCACAGTTGACCGTGCATGTCAGAGCAAAAACCAAGCAATGAGGTCGAAGGAATTTGTCCGTAGAGCTCCGAGACAGGATTGTGTCAAGGCACAGATCTGGGGAAGGGTACCAAACAAATTCTGCAGCATTGAAGATCCCCAAGAACACAGTGGCCTCCATCATTAGACCGCTGCGCCACTCGGGAGGCCCAGGCCTCCTTCATTCTTAAATGGAAGAAGTTTGGAACCACCAAGACTGTTGCTAGAGCTGGCCACCCAGCTGTATTTGTATTCTACCCCCTTTTCTCCCCAATTTTTGTGATATCCAATTGCGATCCAATCACAAACTTGTTTCATCGCTGCAACTCCCCAATGGGCTCTGGAGAGGCGAAGGTCGAGTCATGCGTCCTCCGAAACATGACCTGCCAAACCGTGCTTCTTAACACCTGCTCGCTTAACCCGGAAGCACCAATGTGACGGAGGAAACACCGTTCAACTGATGACCGAAGTCAGCCTGCAGGCGCCCGGCCTGCCACAAGGAATCGCTAGAGCACGACAAGCCAAGTAAAGCCCCCCCGGCCAAACCCTCCCCTAACCCGGACGACACTGGGCCAATTGTGCGGCCGGTTGTGACAACCTGGGATCGAACCTGGGTCTGTAGTGACGCCTCAAGCAGTGCGATGCAGTGCCTTAGACCGCTGCGCCACTCGGGAGGCCCAGGCCTCCATCATTTTTAAATGGAAGAAGTTTGGATCCACCAAGACACTTCCTAGAGCTAGCTACCCAGCCAAAATGAGCAATCTGGGGAGAAGGGCATTGGTCAGGGAGGTGACCAAGAACCCGATGGTCACTCTAACAGAGCTCCAGAGTTCCTCTGTGGAGATGGGAGAACCTTCCAGAAGGACAACCATCTCTGCAGCACTCCACCAATCAGGCCTTTATGGTAGTGTGGTCAGACGGAAACCACTCCTCAGTAAAAGGCACATGACAGCCCGTTTTGAGGTCTGATGAAACCAAGATTGAACTCTTTGGCCTGAATGCCAAGCGTCACGTCTGGAGGAAACCAGGCATCGCCCATCACCTGGCTAATACCATCCCTACGGTGAAGCATGACCCCAACCCTGGTGTATGGAAATTAAACAATGATCATTTGTGTATCTTTGTCCTGTTTTCATGTTTTGTGTATCACTGTATTATTAGGTGTTTGAACTAGTGTGATTGTTTCAGTATGTCTAACTTTTTCATCTCAAGGAATGAATGTGTATTGTTTGTAATTGATTGGTTATTCCACAGCCCAAATGAGCTGAGTGTTCCTAGTGTTCTCTTCGCTGGAGGGATGGCAGGAATCTTCAACTGGGCAGTGGCCATTCCACTTGATGTGCTGAAGTCTCGCTTCCAGACAGGTGTGACTGATGTAGCCCTGTTTTGGGGATGTAAATGCTGTATAATGTGTATGTCTTACAGGGTTAAGGTCAATTCCATTTCAATTCAGTCAATTCAGGATGTAAACTGACATTTCAGTGTACTTCCTGAATTGACAGAATTAAAATTAAAATAACCCCAACACTGATGCCTTGTGTTGTCTTAGTTGTAAGTGTAGTATACAGTATATAGCTTACCAACCAAAGTGTCTGGTTTAGAGCAGCCATTCTTAAAGAATAGGTCACAGCCCAAAGTGGGTCGCGGATATGTTAATGTACTCCTGAGTGGCGCAGTGGTCTAAGGCACTGCATCGCAGTGCTAACTGTGCCACTAGAGATCCTGGTTCGAATCCAGGCTCTGTCGCCGCCGGCCGCGACCGGGAGACTCATGGGCGGCGCACAATTGGCCCAGCATCGTCCAGGGTAGGGGAGGGAATGGCCGGCAGGGATGTAGCTCAGTTGATAGGGTTGTGGGTTCGATTCCCACGGGGGCCAGTATAAAAAAAAAATGTATTCACTAACTGTAAGTCGCTCTGGATAAGAGCGTCTGCTAAATGACTAAAATGTACATGTAAAATGTTAATGGTGGGTGTGTACAGTGCATTCGGAAAGTATTCAGACCCCTTCCCTTTTTCCACATTTTGTTACGTTACAGACATATTCTAAAATGGATTAAATACATTTATTTCCTCATCAATCTACACACTACCCCATAATGACAAAGCAAAAACAGTTTTTTTTGAAAGTTTTGCAAATTTATTAAAAATAAAAAACATAAATACCTTATTTACATAAGTATTCAGACCCTTGATCATCCTTGAGATGGTTCTACAACTAGACTGGAGTCCACCTGTGGTAAATTCAATTGATTGGACATGATTTGGAAAGGCACACACCTGTCTATATAAGGTTGACAGTGCATGTCAGAGCAAAAACCAAGCCATGAGGTCGAAGGAATTGTCCGTAGAACTCCGAGACAGTATTGTGTCTAGGCACAGATCTTGGGAAGTGTACCAAAAAATGTCTGCAGCATTGAAGGTTCCCAAGAACACAGCGGCCTCCATCATTCATAGATGGAAGAAGTTTGGAACCACCAAGACTCTTCCTAGAGCTGGCTGCCCAGCCAAACTGAGCAATCGGGGGAGAAGGGCCTTGGTCAGGGAGGATACCAAGAGCCCGATGGTCACTCTGACAGAGCTCCAGAGTTCCTCTGTGGAGATGGGAGAACCTTCCAGAAGGACAACCATCTCTGCAGCACTCCACCAATCAGGCCTTTATGGTAGTGGCCAGACGGAAGCCACTCCTCAGTAAAAGGCACATGACAGCCCGCTTGGAGTTTGCCAAAAGGCACCTAAAGGACTCTCAGACCATGAGAAACAAGATTCTCTGCTCTGATGAAACCAAGATTGAACTCTTTGGCCTGAATGCCAAGCGTCACGTCTGGAGGAAACCTGGCACCATCCCTACGATAAATGTGCAAACATTTCTAAAAATCTGTTTTTGCTTTGTCATTATGGGATATTGTGTGTACCCTAATGGTTTCTCTCTCCTACCAGCCCCTGAAGGGAAGTGCCCTAATGGTTTCTCACTCCTCCCAGCCCCTGAGGGGAAGTACCCTAATGGTTTCTCTCTCCTCCCAGCCCCTGAAGGGAAGTACCCTAATGGTTTCAGGGACGTTCTACGAGAGCTGCTGAGAGAGGAGGGCATGGCCTCTCTGTACAAAGGCTTTACCGCTGTCATGCTCAGAGCTTTCCCTGCCAATGCAGTGAGTACAAACACTCTACTCACATACAGCACATACAGCCTGTTAACTCTTGTTACAGGTTTTGTTTTTTCCATTTGTGTTTTGAGGTTGGACTTTAGCACGTATAGCTCGTTAGCACGTAGGGCGCACCGATTTGTCAGCTCGTTAGTCAGTATGTATTACACCTGTGCTGGTTTGTCATCTCGTTAGTGGGACGCTATTTCACCTGGGCTGGCCCCATGCTCCAGTGGTCTTGATAGATGCGGAGGGTAAACAGCTTTAGTTGGCTCTCCCTATTTTGATTTCTAGACAAACAATCCTTTATCTGATCCTTTCTGTTTTCATTTTGCTCAACTTTTTGGTTTGCTTCCTGTGTTTAAATTTGGTGTGGGTTTTTCTTTTGTTTGCCTCTTCTTGGGCAAATTTAGTGGGCATTCATGGTGGGTGTCTTTTAGGTTCCAGTTGTTGTTGCTACTCAACTTTCAGTGGACACCCTCATGAGTGTCTTTAAGAACCCCTCCTAAAACCCCACCTGTTTCGTTTTGGTTGTTGTCAGTGACTCTTTATTAGTTCCCCTTCTGATTGAGCGACAGTGTTTGGTTTTCTTGCTGAGGAACGTAACAAAAAGGGGGCTCATCCGGGATTTTGTTTCCCATGAGTATGGTAGTCGCTCTACATTTTACATTTTAGCAGACGCTCTTATCCAGAGTGACTTACAGTTAGTGAGTGCATACATTTTCATACTGGCCCCCCGTGGGAAACGAACCCACAACCCTGGCGTTGCAAGCGCCATGCTCTACCAACTGAGCTACAGGGGACTAGTCACCTACTCTGAAGCTCTGCTGTGCCCAGATATTTGAGTGTTCAAAATACACTTTTGTGGTAGAATTCCTGTCACTGACATCCACCTTGAGGGGTTATAAGATTGGGGAATCATTTTGAAAGTTGCATAAACACACAGGCTAATAAAATAAAGCCATGGACTTTAAGTTGGAAGCATTTGTGGAAAACCCTACATAGGAGATGCTAGATAAATGTACAAAGGCGAATCTGCTTGTCATTGCGAAGCATTATGACATCAAGGTGGCATCTGGCGATCCAAAAGCAGTAGTCAAAGAGTTGATCGGTACTGCTTTGGTGGAGGATGAAATCCTTCCGGAGAGGGAGGTTGATGAAAAGGGTGCTACGTGTAGTGGGGTGAGTCCCATAGACGTGCAACTGAGGGAGATAGAACTAATGGCAAAGTTAGAGTTGGAGCTCAGGGAAAGACAAGATGAGCGTGCAGCCAGACTAGAACAAGAACAACATGCGTATGCCATTCGATTAAAAGAGATGGAGCTGGGAGCACTCCGAATCCAGTCAGGCCATCCTGCACCTCAACAGAGTTTGATCTTGGTCGGAACAGCCGGCGTGTACCGCCTTTCAAGGAAAAGGAGGTGGATGTATATTTTACTCTGTTTGAGCGGAATGCCACATTCCTAAAATGGCTATGACATATTTGGTCACTGCTCCTCCAAAGTGTTCTTGTGGGAAAAGCTTGTTGTGGAAATTCTACACATGGGACACTCAAAGTCAATCTTAAATGAAGTATTGTTTATTAACAGCATGCTGTAGAGGTCACAGTCAAACTTAGATGCATAAAGTACCGGTCTGAAGTGAGCTCCCCCGGGGCAGTCCCGTTAGTTCTCTTACAGTGAGGGAAAAAAGTATTTGATCCCCTGCTGATTTTGTACGTTTGCCCACTGACAAAGAAATGATCAGTCTATAATTTTAATGGTAGGTTTATTTGAACAGTGAGAGACAGAATAACAACAACAAAATCCAGAAAAACGCATGTCAAAAATGTTATAAATTGATTAGCATTTTAATGAGGGAAATAAGTATTTGACCCCCTCTCAATCAGAAAGATTTCTGGCTCCCAGGTGTCTTTTATATAGGTAACGAGCTGAGATTAGGAGCACACTCTTAAAGGAGTGCTTTTAATCTCAGTTTGTTACCTGTATAAAAGACACCTGTCCACAGAAGCAATCAATCAATCAGATTCCAAACACTCCACCATGGCCAAGAGCTCTCCAAGGATGTCAGGGACAAGACCTACACAAGGCTGGAATGGGCTACAAGACCATCGCCAAGCAGCTTGGTGAGAAGGTGACAACAGTTGGTGTGATTATTCGCAAATGGAAGAAACACAAAATAACTGTCAATCTCCCTCGGCCTGGGGCTCCATGCAAGATCTCACCTCGTGGAGTTGCAATGATCATGAGAACGGTGAGGAATCAGCCCAGAACTACACGGGAGGATCTTGTCAATGATCTCAAGGCAGCTGGGACCATAGTCACCAAGAAAACAATTGGTAACACATTACGCCATGAAGGACTGAAATCCTGCAGCGTCGCAAGGTCCCCCTGCTCAAGAAAGCACATATACATGCCCGTCTGAAGTTTGCCAATGAACATCTGAATGATTCAGAGGAGAACTGGGTGAAAGTGTTGTGGTCAGATGAGACCAAAATGGAGCTCTTTGGCATCAACTCAACTCGCCGTGTTTGGAGGAGGAGGAATGCTGCCTATGACCCCAAGAACACCATCCCCACCATCAAACATGGAGGTGGAAACATTATGCTTTGGGGGTGTTTTTCTGCTAAGGGGACAGGACAACTTCACCGCATCAAAGGGACGATGGACAGGGCCATGTACCATCATATCTTGGGTGAGAACCTTCTTCCCTCAGCCAGGACATTGAAAATGGGTCGTGGATGGGTATTCCAGCATGACAATGACCCAAAACACACGACCAAGGCAACAAAGGAGTGGCTCAAGAAGAAGCACATGAAGGTCCTGGAGTGGCCTAGCTAGTCTCCAGACCTTAATCCCATAGAAAATCTGTGGAGGGAGCTGAAGGTTCGAGTTGCCAAACGTCAGCCTCAAAACTTTAATGACTTGGAGAAGATCTGCAAAGAGGAGTGGGACAAAATCCCTCCTGAGATGTGTGCAAACCTGGTGGCCAACTACAAGAAACGTCTGACCTCTGTGATTGCCAACAAGGGTTTTGCCACCAAGTACTAAGTCATGTTTTGCAGAGGGGTCAAATACTTATTTCCCTCACTGTATATACTTACACAGACAAGTTATATTTGCATGATTTAGCTTATTCATCATTCATCATTAATTCATAATTAACGTTTGGTCCATTCATGTGACAGACCAATACCTCACAAGGCTTCTTCTCTCCAAGCTGAGACCTTGAAACTGAGATATCCTTTCGTTCTCAAAACAAGGTTCTGGGCGTACTGCCAAATTGCACATATTGATAGTGAGGATTTGTTCAATCAGTCACTTGCATGAACACAGAAATTGGTTATTAGAAAAGCACAAACATAATATTTTCCATCACATTCCCTCCTCTTATCACTCAATCTGTCATAATTATCATTAAATTTTATTCATTTAGTTATTACTTAAACTTAAACCACTGACACTTTCATACCCTTCATTCTGGGTTGTAAACAAAATTAACACATAAAACCAGACACTTCATCCTTTCAAACCCTTCATTCTGGGTTGTACAATCCAACTTGTAAAACCATTGCAGTAGAATGTTTTAACTTGAGACCTTCGCTTCATTCAGACACGCACCTCTTTCACACTCACACAACTCTCACATCCACATTCACTTGGGACTATTATTTTCATATCTTCCCACACACACACACTAGTGTTCCATTCACACATACAATTTCCCTATATAACATTATAAATCAACTTAGGTATTTACATCCACACCACCCCATGTGCATCTTCAACAATTCTAAATGCCTACAATAACAATAACACTTCGTGCTATTATCAGTGGTTCTCAGACCACATAGACTTTTCTATCGTTACATCCTATGCACCATATGTATCTTCAACGGTTCTCTTGCCACTACTTCCTTTACATATAAAACAACACGTTGTGCTATTACTAATAGTCCCAGACTACGATGGGCGGTGGTGGATGGAACCCCAGTGGTCCTCTGTAGCTCAGCTGGTAGAGCACGGCGCTTGTAACGCCAAGGTAGTGGGTTCGATCCCCGGGACCACCCATACACAAAAAAAATGTATGCACGCATGACTGTAAGTCGCTTTGGATAAAAGCGTCTGCGAAATGGCATATTATTATATTATAGATAACGTTATAGATCGAAAAACTCAGCTCATAGAACTGGTTGGGGAATTCATTCAGACACACACCTCTTTCACACTCACACAACTCTCACATCCACATTCACTTAGTACTGTTCCCAAACACACTCAGTGATCTCCCTTATTACCCCACGTGCATCTTCAACGATTCTCTTGTCGTTACTTCATATACACCATATGTATCTTTCACATACATATATAATAACACCACATGCTATTAGTAGTGGCTGCAGACCACGTAGATCATTATCTTATAAATGCCTACAGACAGCTGTCAGCGGGGCTTTCCATGGTACCGTTACGCCCTCGCTCTAGTCTTCTCAAAAGACTAGTGAATAGCCTTCTCCTATAAGACTATGGGTACCTTTTTATGCATTACCCGCCTTAATTGTATTGGTTTTATCTTTTATTTGTTAATACAAATTCATTTAAATTTCTTACTGAATTCATTTTCCATCCCTCAATTGTTCGCAGATGATGTGTCTCCACCTGGGCAGCTCACAGTAAGGGTCTGGTCTGGGCGGGTCCTCATCGTCTTTTGGTCAGACAGGAATTTCCCTCATGCTTCATAAAATGCGCCACCAGTTTTCCTCGCAGACCCCCACTGGAAAGCTCTGCAGGCAGAATCAATCATCCTGTTCATTGACGCCAAATTGTTGTGGAAATTCTACACATGGGACACTCTAAGTCAATCTTAAATGAATTAATGTTTATTAACACAAGCTCAGAATGTGTACGCCGCTTTATATCTTGGCCAGAGTTCAGATTATGATACTGTTAACGCAGCTATCCTTAGGGTTTACGAGTTGGTCCCAGAGGCATACAGACAACAGTTCGAGCAACAGTATTTGGTTTTCTTGCTGGTGAACGTAACACTCTCAACACACACTGGTCAGTCAGAAATGGTACTCATACATGCTATGCCCACCATACTCATCACTTAGCCTCATACTACCCCATAATTACAGCACATCATACACTGAATATACATTATGTTTTCGTGCACAAAGCATTGATACCTGCACTACCTGCACTTTACATGCATTATACACTCATCTCTTGCCTGTAAAATGTTACACATGATCATTACAATACAATTAATGTTGATCTCTCTCCTCTTAGGCCTGTTTCCTTGGGTTTGAAATGGCCATGAAGTTCCTGAACTGGGCAGCACCCGGCCTGTGATCCCTGTCCATGGCCCAGACGCCAGAGACACAACTCACTAACACAGTGGAGTACCCATGGACACAGTCAATACTCCAAGTACCTGCAGTACTTGCGTACATATACTCTCACACAGAGATACACATTGGAAGTCTGACTGGCATACAGACTGTGAAAGCTGCACACATTGTAGAGATAGACAGACACAGGGGAGAGACACGCATACACACACACATGAATGTTCTGACTCCTTGGGGTTTTACTTGTATTTGTTTGTTGGTGGGGTTTTTAAAATTAGAAAATAAGTGAATTGTGCCTTACCTTTACTGACTTTGAGTGAGTCTGTATATCAGAGAATAGGTGCATTTTCACAGGTTGCGTGTAATATGTGTTAGTATACCGTGTGTGTGTGTGTGTATGTGTGTGTATGTGTGTGTACAGTGGGGGAAAAAAGTATTTAGTCAGCCACCAATTGTGCAAGTTCTCTCACTTAAAAAGATGAGAGAGGCCTGTAATTTTCATCATAGGTACACGTCAACTATGACAGACAAATTGAGAAAAAAAATCCAGAAAATCACATTGTAGGATTTTTAATGAATTTATTTGCAAATTATGGTGGAAAATAAGTATTTGGTCACCTACAAACAAGCAAGATTTCTGCCTCTCACAGACCTGTAACTTCTTCTTTAAGAGGCTCCTCTGTCCTCCACTCGTTACCTGTATTAATGGCACCTGTTTGAACTTGTTATCAGTATAAAAGACACCTGTCCACAACCTCAAACAGTTACACTCCAAACTCCACTATGGCCAAGACCAAAGAGCTGTCAAAGGACACCAGAAACAAAATTGTAGACCTGCACCAGGCTGGGAAGACTGAATCTGCAATAGGTAAGCAGCTTGGTTTGAAGAAATCAACTGTGGGAGCAATTATTAGGAAATGGAAGATATACAAGACCACTGATAATCTCCCTCGATCTGGGGCTCCACGCAAGATCTCACCCCGTGGGGTCAAAATGATCACAAGAACGGTGAGCAAAAATCCCAGAACCACACGGGGGGACCTAGTGAATGACCTGCAGAGAGCTGGGACCAAAGTAACAAAGCCTACCATCAGTAACACACTACGCCGCCAGGGACTCAAATCCTGCAGTGCAAGACGTGTCCCCCTGCTTAAGCCAGTACATGTCCAGGCCCGTCTGAAGATTGCTAGAGTGCATTTGGATGATCCAGAAGAGGATTGGGAGAATGTCGTATGGTCAGATGAAACCAAAATATAACTTTTTGGTAAAGACTCAACTCGTCGTGTTTGGAGGACAAAGAATGCTGAGTTGCATCCAAAGAACACCATACCTACTGTGAAGCATGGGGGTGGAAACATCATGCTTTTTCTGCAAAGGGACCAGGACGACTGATCCGTGTAAAGGAAAGAATGAATGGGGCCATGTATCGTGAGATTTTGAGTGAAAACCTCCTTCCATCAGCAAGGGCATTGAAGATGAAACGTGGCTGGGTCTTTCAGCATGACAATGATCCCAAACACACCGCCCGGGCAACGAAGGAGTGGCTTCGTAAGAAGCATTTCAAGGTCCTGGAGTGGCCTAGCCAGTCTCCAGATCTCAACCCCATAGAAAATCTTTGGAGGGAGTTGAAAGTCTGTGTTGCCCAGCGACAGCCCCAAAACATCACTGCTCTAGAGGAGATCTGCATGGAGGAATGGGCCAAAATACCAGCAACAGTGTGTGAAAACCTTGTGAAGACTTACAGAAAACGTTTGACCTGTGTCATTGCCAACAAAGGGTATATAACAAAGTATTGAGTAACTTTTGTTATTGACCAAATACTTATTTTCCACCATAATTTGCAAATAAATTCATTAAAAATCCTACAATGTGATTTTATGGATTTTTTTTCCTCATTTTGTATGTCATAGTTGACGTGTACCTATGATGAAAATTACAGGCCTCTCTCATCTTTTTAAGTGGGAGAACTTGCACAATTGGTGGCTGACTAAATACTTTTTTTCCCCACTGTATATGCCTTGCCAAACATACCGGTACATTAAAACCTCCCTTAAGGGTCTCATTCCAAACTGTGATCTAATAACCAAATACTTGCATTGGAAATTGTTTGTAGATTGATGAATTAATGAATGAATAGTCATTGCGGATGTAGGCTATGTGTCACGTTCGTTGAGTACAGGATTGGACCAAGGTGCAGCGTGGAATGCATACATGTTTATTCACTAAGTTAACACACGACAAAACAACAAAAGCAACGTAACGTGACGCTCACAATGGCTACACACAAACAAGCCAAACAAGAGTCAAGATCCCACAACATAGGTAGGCAAAATGGCTACCTAAGTATGATCCCCAATCAGAGACAACGATCGACAGCTGCCTCTGATTGGAAACCACACCCGGCCAACATAGATCTACAAACATAGAATGTACACATAGAAATACACACCCTGACCTAACCAACTAAAGAAAACCGGTCTCTCAAGGCCAGGGCGTGACAGTAACCCCCCCCCCCAAAGGTGCGGACTCCGGCCGCAAAACCTAACTTAACAGGGGAGGGTCCGGGTGGGCATCTAGCCTCGGTGGCGGCTCCGACTCCGGGCGTGACGTCCTCTCCCTTACTGCCTCCCCGTTGCACCCCTGGTCCGGTCTGGACGATGCTTCCCCTCTCAGTCCTCCCACGATGCACCAAGCCCTGTCTGGACCCTGGTGTGGGAGGCCCCGACCCTGGAGAGGGGCTAACGTCTGGGCCTGGACCGGCAATCCCCCCGCGATGCACCAAGCCCTGTCTGGATCCTGGTGTGGGAGGCCCCGACCCTGGAGAGGAGTTGACTTCTGGTTCTGGAGTGGAGCCGCCGACCGGAGCTGAACTGGACCCCGGTGGAGCGGACTGCTCTGGCACTGGAGTGGAGCAGCTGACCGGAGCTGGACTGGGCACCGGTGGAGCGGACTGCTCTGGCACTGGAGTGGAGCAGCTGACCGGAGCTGGACTGGGCACCGGTGGAGTGGACTGCTCTGGCACTGGAGTGGAGCAGCTGACCGGAGCGGGACTAGGCACCGGTAGAGCGGACTGCTCTGGCACTGGAGTAGAGCCGCTGACCGGAGCTAGACCAGGCACCGGTGGAGCGGACTGCTCTGGCACCAGCCGTACCGGGCTGGGGACACGCACCACTGGTCTGGTGCGAGGAACAGGCACGGGCCGCACCGGGCTGGGGACACGCACCACTGGTCTGGTGCGAGGAACAGGCACGGGCCGCACCGGGCTGGGAACACGCATCACTGGTCTGGTGCGAGGAGCAGGCACGGGCCGTACCGGACTGGAGACCCGCACCCCTGGTTTGGTGCGAGGAGCAGGCACGGGCCGTGCCGGACTCGAGACACGCACCACAAGTTTGGTGTGGGGAGCAGGTACGGGGCATACCAGGCTGGCGACCCGCACCACTGGTTTGGTGCGGGGAGTAGGTACGATCCGTACCGGATGGATACACGCACCACTGGTTTGGTGCGGGGAGCAGGTACGATCCGTACCGGACTGGATACACGCACCACTGGTTTGGTGCGGGGAGCAGGTACGGTGCGTACCAGGCTGGCGACACGCACCACTGGTTTGGTGCGGGGAGCAGGTACGGGCCGTACCGGACTGGATACACGCACCACTGGTTTGGTGCGGGGAGCAGGTACGGGGCGTACCGGGCTGGCGACACGCACCACTGGTTTGGTGCATGGAGCAGGTACGGGGCGTACCGGGCTGGCGACAAGCACCACTGGTTTGGTGCGGGGAGCAGGTATGGGCCGTACAGGACTGGGGACACGCACCACTGGTTTGGTGCGGGGAGCAGGTACGGGCCGTACCGGACTGGATACACGCACCACTGGTTTGGTGCGGGGAGCAGGTACGGGGCGTACCGTGCTGGCGACACGCACCACTGGTTTGGTGCATGGAGCAGGTACGGGGCGTACCGGGCTGGCGACAAGCACCACTGGTTTGGTGCAGGGGAGCAGGTATGGGCCGTACAGGACTGGGGACACGCACCACTGGTTTGGTGCGAAGAGCAGGAACAACCCGTCCTGGCTGAACGCTCAGTTTAGCCTGACAAGAGCGGGACGCGGGCACCACTCGCACCGGGCTGTGAATGCGCACTGGAGATACAGTGCGCATCACAGCAGAACAGGGTGCCTGTATGGTCCCACGCTCCTTCTGTTGCCTGGCCAGCTCCTCTCTCCTTGCATCCACTGACTCCTTCTCCCTTTGGGCCTCCTGCAGCGCCTCCTTCGGAAGTGAGAGCTCTTGCTCCCTCTTCTCTAACAGCCCCCGTAATGTGGTGGCCTCCTCTCTCATACTGCTGATCTGCAGGTCTTGGAGGACCTCTACAATAGCGGCCTCCTCCTCCACAGTCAGCCCTTTCACGGCCTCCTGCTGCTTCGTCAACCACCCCGTGTGCCCCCCAATTTTTTTTATTGGGGTTGCCTCTCGGGTCTCCTTCGTCGTTTCGCATTTTGGAGTCGCCGTCGATTTGTACTCCAGCCTTCCTCCATTACCTCACCGTAACGGATGGCTTCCTCCTCTGTAATTTTCCCCCAACCGAGGAGGACATCTACCAATGTTGCTTCCCGCTGTGTCCAGGGTGTTTGCTCCTCCTGGGCACGCTGCTTGATCCGTTGGTGGTGAGTTCTATCAACATATCGACTGTTGTACTCGCGCTGCTAAAATCCTCGACCATTGCTATTCGAACTTCCGGGATGGTTATAAGGCCCTCCCCCGCCCTCCTTTCGGCAAATCTGACCACGACTCCATTTTGCTCTTCCCTTCCTATAGGCAGAAACTCAAACAGGAAACACCCGTGCTAAGGGCTATTCAACGCTGGTCTGACCAATCGGAATCCACGCTTCAAGATTGTTTTGATTACGCGGACTGGGATATGTTCCGGATAGCTTCTGAAAATAATTTAGACTAATACACTGAAACGGTGACTGAGTGATGTGTGCCCACTGTGACTATTAAAACCTACCCTAACCAGAAACCGTGGATAGATGGCAGCATTCGCGCAAATCTGAAAGCGCGAACCACCGAGTGGCGCAGTGGTCTAAGGCACTGCATCTCAGTGCTTGAGGTGTCACTACAGACACTACAGATTCCAGGCTGTATCACAACCGGCCGTGATTGGGAGTCCCAAAGAGCGGCACACAATTGGCCCAGCGTCGTCCAGGTTTGGCCAGTATAGGCCGTCATTGTAAATAAGAATTTGTTCTTAACTGACTTGCCTAGTTAAATAAAGGTTAAAAAAAATTATAAAAATAAAACAATTCAACCATGGCAAGGTGACTGGGAATATGGCAGAATAAAAACAGTGTAGCTACTCACTCCGCAAGGCAATTAAAACATCAGTATAGAGACAAAGTGGAGTCGCAATTCAACAGCTCAGACACGAGACGTATGTGGCAGGGTCTACAGACAATCACAGACTACAAAAGGAAAACCAGCCACGTCGCCGACACCGACGTCTCGCTTCCAGACAAGCTAAACACCTTCTTCGCCCGCTTTGAGGATAACACAGTGCCACTGACGAGGCTCACTACCAAGGACTGTGGCTTCTCCTTCTCCGTGGCCGACGTGATTAAGACATTTAAGCATGTTAACCCCCGCTAGCTTGCCGGCCCAGACGGTATCCCTAGCCGCGTCCTCAGAGCATGCGCAGACCAGCTGGCTGGTGTGTTTATGGACATATTCAATCTCTCCCTTTCCCAGTCTGCTGTTCCCACATGCTTCAAGATGGCCACCATTGTTCCTGTACCCAAGAAAGCAAAGGTAACTGAACTAAATGACTATCGCCCTGTAGCACTCACCTCTGTCATCATGAAGTGCTTTGAGAGACTAGTCAAGGATCATATCACCTCTACCTTACCTGTCACCCTAGACCCACTTCAATTTGCTTACCGCCCCAATAGATCCACAGACAATGCAATCGCCATCACACTGCACACTGCCCTATCCCATCTGGACAAGAGGAATACCTATGTAAGAATGCTGTTCATTGACTATAGTTCAGCATTCAACACCATAGTTCCCACCAAGCTCATCATTAAGCTCGAGGCCCTGGGTCTGAACCCCGCCCTGTGCAACTGGGTCCTGGACTTCCTGACGGGCCGCCCCCAGATGGTGAAGGTAGGAAACAACATCTCCACTTCGCTGATCCTCAACACTGGGGCCCCACAAGGGTGCATGCTCAGCCCCCTCCTGTACTCCCTGTTCACTCATGACTGCGTGGCCAAGCACACCTCCAACTCAATCATCAAGTCTGCAGACGACACAACAGTAGTAGGCTTGATTACCAACAATGACGAGACCGCCTACAGGGAGGAGGTGAGGGCTCTGGGAGTGTGGTGCCAGGAAAATAACCTCTCACTCAACGTCTACAAAACAAAGGAGATGATCGTGGACTTCAGGAAACAGCAGAGGGTGCACCCCCCTATCCACATCAACGGGACCACAGTGGTCGACAAACTGAAATCATCCACCTACGCAGACAGTGTGGTGAAGAAGGCGCAACAGAGCCTCTTCAACCTCAGGAGGCTAAAGAAATTTGGCTTGGCACCGAAAACCCTCAAACTTTTACAGATGCACAATTGAGAGCATCTTGTCGGGCTGTATCACCACCTGGTACGGCAACTACACCGCCCGCAACCGCAGGGCTCTCCAGAGGGTGGTGCGGTCTGCCGAACGCATTACCGGGGGCAAACTACCCGCCCTCCAGGACACCTACAGCACCCGATGTCACAGGAAGGCCAAAAAGATCATCAAGGACATCAACCACCTGAGCCACTGCCTGTTCACCCCACTATCATCCAGAAGGCGAGGTCAGTACAGGTGCATCAAAGCTGGGACCGAGAGAATGAAAAACAGCTTCTATCTCAAGGCCATCAGACTGTTAAATAGCCATCACTAGCACATTAGAGGCTGCTGCTGCCTATTGAAATCACTGGCCACTTTAAGAAATGGAACACTAGTCACTTTAATAATGTTTACAGATCTTGCACTACTCATCTCATATGTATATACTGCATTCTATTCTATAATATTCTACTGTATCTTAGTCCATGCCGCTCTGTCATTGCTTGTCCATATATGTATATTTTCTTAAATTCCATTCCTTACTAGTTTTGTGTGTATTGAGTATATGTTGTGAAATTGTTAGATATTACTTGTTAGATATTACTGCACTGTCGGAGCTAGAAGCACAAGCATTTTGCTACACCTGCTATAACATCCGCTAAACACACGTATGTGACAAATAAAATTTGATTTGATTTGATTTGTGTGGCTCACATTGAGCTGTTGTGTCTTTGGAAAGGGACATCAAATATGCATGGCGGTCGGACAGGTCCATAGTAATACTGTATACAAGAAAATAGTTGATAAAGCTCCGCTACCCACAGTCTAGCCCTAAAAATGCATGACTGTAATATCCTACTTCAGGCCACAGATAGAGCACCTCGCGTCAAGGTCCGATACACAGTAGGCCTAGGTTAGACTGGCATGAACTACATTTGATCTGAAAAGTTGTGACAACCTAGTATGCCCGGTCAATACTTTCCGATACGCTGCTTCTAGTCTAAATGGCGTACTGCCAGTCGACGCGGACGGGGGTGGGGTAAAGGTGGGTGGGTTTCGCCGGGGGGCCAGAACCGCGCTGTGTGCATTTATCAAAGTAGGCCATGCATTATGTCAAACCTTAACTCCTCTTCAAAAGGCTACAATGCAAGGAGGTCGGTAGATTGGTTCAAATGTATTTGTTTGATAGCTGTCATTGGTAGTTCTTAGTAAATGTATTTGTTTGATAGCTGTCATTGGTAGTTCTTAGTAAATGTATTTGTTTGACATTTAACCTACTTTGATATTTGCCATGGCCGCTGATCATTGATCTGGCTCTGTTTATTCTCACAAAGTCTTGGCAACATTGGGGGATGGATGCATTTTATATTGGACAGACACTGAAGGTTATATTCAAATGATATTGTATTTTTACTACTCAGGCTATTTAGCATACTTTATGAGTTCTTAAGTTTTACAAATCCCTGGTCTTGGAAATTCTTGATTAGTATAGGGTTCTATGATTTTAGGCCTATTGCTATGGATTAGGCAGATCGTTTCATTCAAAATTGTATTTTTAAACCTGTTAAAGATAATTATAGGCTTGGCCTATCATAGTTCTGTGATGAGCATCGAGATACCTGCTGGCTTGACAGACTTGCTGCAAGGATACACTGTGGAGGTACTACGGCGCAGACCGCCAGATTTGGTTGAATTCGCAATCCAGTATTTCACGTGTCTACAAGAGAGCCGAAAACACGACAGACATGTCAAAGAAAGACTAGCCGATTCTACACGAAAAGGAGTGGTTTTTGATAGTATTTCGGTTGAATCAAATGAAGATGAAGACTCTGATGATGCCTATAGTGAGTGACATTTTTCATCTCTACTTGGCCACAATTTTTTGCAATATACTTCATGATTTGATTATTAAATCTATTTAAAAAGATTTTCTCATCATCTGTATTTGTATTATAACCTTTTTACTCTTAAGTTATTATAACTTGTTTTACTCTCACATAATAGGCTACACAAGTGCACAGAATGCATAAGGAACCATTATCTCATGGTATTATGAAGCCCTTTTTAAGTCTACTGCACACAAGTTGAATGGGTTCTCATCAAAGTAACGCGAGGGCCCGTGTAGTCAAATTATTTTCTCTTCCATTGCCAGAGGTTATCAGATGATAGGATGCTACTGCGGTATTTTAGCCCACTGAATAGCTATTTGTCCTGAATTATATCATAATTATTCAGTAGCCTATTCATAATAAAATAATAAACGTTTTTTTGTGGGTATCTACCTCTTTTGATAAATCTGTTTCTGTGCCCTGACAAAAAGTGATGAGAGAAAATAAGAGGGAAGAATCTGGTATGGTAGTAGGGGGATGGTCATGCACTGTAAGCTAAAGTGTGTCAATGGATCCATAAGAACAACTAATATGGATGTTCAATGGGACCAACTTAATTTCTAGCTCTGAAACATTTCTCTCTCTTTCTCTCTCTCTCTAGTGCCCCCCTCCAACTCTAATAAATACAGTCGCAGAGCATCTGGTGAGTGTCATCCTTAGGTTTTGCATTCATTATATGCTGTGTATGAAGAATGTTATTTCAGTCTCACTTGTTCGTTAGTCACAACATTCCCTTTGAGTGTATTTGTTTGTCCCCAGTGTGTGTCACAGTCATTTTGCTCCCCCAGTCTGTGCAGAGGCCTATAACCCAGACGATGATGAGGATGATGACTTTGAGCCGCGGGTGGTACACCCCAAATCAGACGAGCAGCGTCACAGACTCCAGGACGCCTGCCGAGACATTCTACTGTTCAAAACTCTCGACCAGGTAAAGTATTGTATGTAGTCCTTGTAAACCACTGAGAGTAATTCATTGTAAGCCAGTGAGAGTAACTTGTGAGTTAAAAGTAATGGCACTTACTCTTATCTTTTATATTTTGTTTGGTTATGAACTAAACAAGCCCCCTCTCGATAGAGACATTACACATTAGAGATTGTATTGATTTATTTGTGTGATGCTTGCTGGGTGTGCCAGTTTAGTATGCAAACACACACGCACACATGGTCCTCTTCTAATGTGTGAGTGTTGTTTCTCTCTTTCAGGAGCAGTTCTCAGAGGTTCTGGATGGCATGTTTGAGGTGTTGGTCAAACCACAGGAGCACATCATAGACCAGGGGGATGATGGAGATAACTTCTATGTCATAGAGCGGTGCGCATGTGTGTGTGTTGAATCTATATTTTTTTCTGTGTGAGAGGCATTAGGCCTAAATATGTGAATGTGATGTTCTCTAATTCCTCTGGTGTTCTGTGTACCTCTCTGTCTGCTGTAGGGGTGTGTATGACATTATTGTGATGATTGATGGAGTTGGAAAGTGTGTAGGGAAGTATGACAATAAGGGCAGTTTCGGGGAGCTGGCTCTCATGTACAACACCCCGCGTGCTGCCACCATCATGGCCACCCAGGAGGGGGCACTGTGGGGACTGGTGAGTCACAGTAGTGTGTGTGTGTGTGTTTAATGTGTTTCTATGAGAGATGAGTGACTGTGTGTAACCTGTATGTGAATGTTTTAGGATCGGGCCACATTCCATAGACTCATAGTGAAGAACAATGCCAAGAAGAGGAAGATGTACGAAGCCTTCATTGAGTGTGTACCCCTTCTAAAGTCTCTCGAGGTGTGTGAATACCTATGTCAGTTTCATTTGACCACAGAATCTTTTTTCTTTGCTTTACAATCAAAAGTGTACTGTGCATTCAAAGTACAACATAAGAGAAGGTACATGAGAGGCTCACATTGTAAACAATCCTCACTCAGAATGCATGTAAAGATGTATACTTTTATCACACCTTCATCGTCTGTCCTCGTCTTGTTCTTCCTCAGCTCTCTGAGAGGATGAAGATTGTTGATGTCGTGGGAATGAGAGCGTTCAAAGATGAGGAGTGCATCATAACACAGGTATTATGGATTTTTACTGTACAGTTCATCTAAGATTACACTTTACTTTGTACCACTGCTGCTTCTACTGCTTTTCTGCACTCTTAGGGGGAGAAGGCAGATTGCTTCTACATCGTAGAGTCGGGGCAGGTGAAGATCATGATAATAAGCAAAGTAGGTGTACATGTTTTGCTCTTCACTTGGGTGTGTGTTAGACCTACTGTATAAATAATGAGTTTGCTGTGGGTACCTGCTGCAAGGAACTGAATGTACTGAATGTGTGCATCTAGCATCATTGGAATGTGGTACAACGGGCTTTGCTGCTTTTGCAGCTAATGACATCAGTAATTGATTTATCATGTTGGGTAGTAGTTGGTGTATATTTGTATATTTTTGGTTGCTAAAGCCAAAAGATAAGGAACGGATAACTGTAACTGAAATAATTATGGTATAGCTTACATCAGTACAGCGGTAGGTAGCATCATCAGCTGTATGTCTCCCTACCTAGACTAAAGCAGGGCAGCTGTATGTCTCCCTACCTAGACTAAAGCAGGGCAGCTGTATGTCTCCCTACCTAGACTAAAGCAGGGCAGCTGTATGTCTCCCTACCTAGACTAAAGCAGGGCAGCTGTATGTCTCCCTACCTAGACTAAAGCAGGGCAGCTGTATGTCTCCCCTACCTAGACTAAAGCAGGGCAGCTGTATGTCTCCCTACCTAGACTAAAGCAGGGCAGCTGTATGTCTCCCTACCTAGACTAAAGCAGGGCAGCTGTATGTCTCCCTACCTAGACTAAAGCAGGGCAGCTGTATGTCTCCCTACCTAGACTAAAGCAGGGCAGCTGTATGTCTCCCTACCTAGACTAAAGCAGGGCAGCTGTATGTCTCCCTACCTAGACTAAAGCAGGGCAGCTGTATGTCTCCCTACCTAGACTAAAGCAGGGCAGCTGTATGTCTCCCTACCTAGACTAAAGCAGGGCAGCTGTATGTCTCCCTACCTAGACTAAAGCATCATCAGCTGTATGTCTCCCTACCTAGACTAAAGCATCATCAGCTGTATGTCTCCCTACCTAGACTAAAGCAGGGCAGCTGAACAATGCAGAGGTGGAGATTGCACGCTGCTCTAGAGGCCAATACTTCGGAGAGCTGGCTCTGGTCACCAACAAACCACGTGCAGCATCCGTCTATGCTGTAGGAGACACCAAGTGCTTGGGTACGTTGTACACACATACAGTGAGCTCCAAAAGTATTGGGACAGTGACACATTGTTTGTTGTTTTTGCTCTGTACTTTGGATTTGAAATGATACAATGACTATGGGGTTAAAGTGCAGACTGTTAGATTTAATTTGAGGGTATTTTCATCCATATCGGGAGAACCATCTAGGAATTACAGCCCTTTTTGTACATAGTATTGGGTATTGGTATTGGGACAAATTCACTTATGTGTATTAAAGTATTCAATAGGTTTGTATTTGGTCCCATATTCCTAGCACGCAATGATTACATCAAGCTAGTGACTACAAACTTGTTGGATGCATTTTCTGTTTGTTTTGGTTGTGTTTCAGATCATTTTGTGCCCAATAGAAATGAATGGTAAATAATGTATTGTGTCATTTTGGAGTCACTTTTATTGTAAATAAGAATAGAATATGTTTCTAAACACATCTACATTAATGTGGATGTTACCATGATTGCGGATAATCCTGAATGAATGGTGAATAATGATGAGTCAGAAAGTTACAGATGCACAAATATTATACCCCCAAGACATGCTAACCTCTCACCATTACAATAACTGTCTCTCTGTCTCTCTAAAGCAGTCAGACATTAATAGATCAGGGACTGTATTCAAGTAGGGAGGAATTCCGACTTGAGTTAAACGCTCGTAAATGGAACGTAATTCCCTTTTGATGCACTTTTCTCTCTATGCATATTCTGTATTCTGACCTTGACTTAATTTCCTCATAATTCCACCACCTTTACGCGTGAGTAAACCATGAATAAGGTTGAGCGAACCTTCCGGTTCTAAGTGGAAAAAGCATCTACTTTATTTTTTGAATTTGAGGACCTTGTGAAGTATTTGTTTTTTTATGAAATATTGAATTTGGCCTTTACTACTATAGCCCATAGAAACGCATTGAATAACACATTCATAAATGGCAAAAAATACAGTCAAAAAGCAAATCTTAAGGAATAAGTTTTGAAGTGTTTGTCCTATATCTAGGAGATACAAGAAAGCTCAGGACATGTTTTTGTTTTTTTTGGACGCATGTTTAACCCCTTATTTTTATTGGTATCTATTTCCATACTTCTATACATTTGTGTGGGTTACCTTCAGACGAGTCCTGTGACACTTGTGGGGGTCGTAGAGCAAACCGGTGGCTAATATTTAACATGATAGAAAAAGGAAACAGAAAATGTCGGGGTAGCCTATAATTAAGACATTCGAAAGTGCCAATCCCTGGAAGTTAAAAGGCCGTGCAATTTAAATTCTGCATAATGGCACAGCATTTCATAAACTTTACTGTAGGAAAGTTGATATGTTGATATACTTCAGTTTGCTGCCATATGACTGGTTTCACATGTGTCTCCAGCGATCTTAAGGTAAAATATAGGCTATCTAAAACAAGTGTCATTTATATTTACAATTCTCTTATCCAAACGGATTACTCATTTACCTAGCGCTTATCAAGTTGTAAATTACAGTGCATGGAGAATGCTGTTATTTCTATTGGAAAAAATAAAGTAGATGCTTTTTCCACTTGGAACAGGTAGGTTCACGAGACCTTATTAATGGTTTCCTCGCGTGTAAAGGTGGTGGAATTATTAGGAAATTAAGTCAAGGTCAAAATACGGTGTATCTGTAGACACACCTCCGCCACACCTTCATTTATTCAATCTCCACCCAAAACAAATAGCAGGTGAATAGCACGCTATTCTCATGCTTAAATTCAAGGTCAGAATACGCATAGAGAGAAAAGTGCATATAAAGGGAATTACGTTCCATTTATGTACGCTTAACTCAGGTCAGAACGCATATAGGGCCAGTAGATCAGTATGGGTCCGTTTATCGTTATCGGCTTTTTAATGTTTGACTTGACTTGTTACTTCCTTCTTTCTCTTCCCCCCCCCCCCCCCCCCAGTAATAGACATTCAGGCGTTTGAGCGTTTGCTGGGTTCCTGTAAGGAGATAATGAAGAGGAACATTTCCCAATATGAGAACCAGCTGGTAGCTCTGTTTGGTTCTAGTGTAGATTTGAAGCATTAAAGTATAATTGTCTTTGTAAGAAACACCACACTAACACAATCCCACACAGAGTGCTTCCTAAACAGGTGGACACGCATACTAGCTTTACATACTTACACAGGCCAGAACATATTTGTTGACATTTAATTGTACAATCTACTGTACATTATTTAATAATTGATATCAGTTACTATATGAACTGTTTCAAATTACTTTAATCATTTTGTTTATATGTAGCATCTAGTATTTGCCTTTTTTGACTTATTGTGAAAGTATCCGTATTGTTCACCATGTTGGTTTAGTAATTTTTCATGCATGTTAGCCCAATTTATTGATAATTCTAGCCCAATAGCGTCCACACAAACAGATGTTTTTGTACTGAAATTGTCAAGGTCAAATGTCCATCAATCAAATATTAATGTGTACTTTGCTTTGATATGGAAATACTTTTCATCTGCAGATGGGGAGATTTCATAAATGTAATCCCTGATCAAAATGTTGTCAAAAGTAAATGGAAGTTGGTAATATGCAATGATTTTTGCAGTTCCATTTTTAATTGAAGCAGTTTAAACTGATGTGCTGCTGGGTGGCACTGGAGTTCATTGGACTTTAGGGACTGTATAAAGCCAAGTGTCTGGGTGTGTGGAAGGGCATGGACCAATGTGTTACTGTTATCTAACTATTCTGTGATTAGCTATACAATTCCAATACACAGTCACCCCTCTGGTAGACAGTATCAGTGATGAAATCCTATCAATATATAGAATGTTACAATAATGGAATGCATTTGCAAACATTTGACAATGGGTGAATTCACCTTGCATGGTCCGGATGGGCGGAGTTTGCACATTTTAGACAATTCCATTGGTCCTTAACTGAAATCACCCACCCGGGCCATGCAAAACGAACTGGCCCACTGTGAAGGGGAAATCACCTCATCCACATCCTATCAATATGTTACATAAACCTAACCCAACTGTTACGAATGCAGAAGTAGACCTTTACTGAACTGCAACAGAATATACATCCCCAGCATTAGAAAAGATGTTGGTAGAAAGCTCAATTATATTTACACAATGTTCAAATATTTATTTCAAACAGACAGCATCTCAAAGAGAAACAAGAAAAAGAGAAACATCCAGATAAACAAGCTCATGACTAATGTTTAAGTTTTCTGGATTTATTTTTTATTTGAGTAACAAAATGTGATGTGCCCTCGGCAAACTCCACACGAGTTTGCCAACCTGCTGTGTTACAAGTATTTACACCACAAAACCTAGGGGTTTCCCCTCTGTGTCCTTCCTTACATTTCCAATTAATTCATCCCAACTTACCATCTTGTATTTCCAAGGTTGGTTGGAAGTCTTGATGTGAAGTTGTCCCAAGTTCTATTTTGTCAAAGTTTTAAATATTTAAAATATTTACAGAGTCCAGTATTCCAAAAACTCCTAAATCCCACTGTTGCTCGTATAATGCGGAAACAGATGGAAGGGAACAGCCTTGTCTGGTTTAAGTAGAGAAATGGAACAGCAGAGCTGGTGGAATCAAAAGGGGTTTGTTAGGCTGACGCATTCCTCTCTACAAGATCTCCCTCCATCCCAAATGGCACCCTATCCCCATATAGTGCATTACTTTTGACCAGGGCCCAAAGTAGTGCACTATATAGGAAATAGGGTGGCATTTGGGTCCTAAAAGTGAATTCTTCCTCTATGGGAAAGGCTGGACAATGAAGTTTGTTTGTACATAATACTGTACTTGAAAATACATGTTGAAATGTCTATTTTTGCCATTGTTGTATAATGGCTTCCATGATCCTTTCTTATGAAGAATTAAAAAATGAACCACAATCATTAAAAGATGAAGAATAAAAGGCCACCCACAAAGTCACTCCTTCTTATTCATCAAACATCCAGATTTTTCTTCAAAGCATCTCCCTACGTAAAAATAAAACTCCCCAATAAATACAAATACAGCAGAGATATAGGGTTCTGGTGTAATCCATCCCTGAGCTCGCTCTTTTGAGAAAATACCAGACAGGTGACAAAAAAAAAAAAAAGACGTGACATGGAAAAAGTACAAGTTCCAATACGATGTTATTCCCAAATGTTCCCAGTGTCTCCAGGAGCAAAGATCCTGCCATTCCTCTTGTTTCCTGAGGCTCAACTCGGTGTACGTCCACTGAAGAGAAGAGGTGGTTCCCTTTCCCCGCTGGGGGGGGGGGGTTGTTACACAGAGGTGATGACAATCATGAGGTGAGGGGAGATATTGGAGATCCGGTTGAGGAGGTCAGGGGCTAGCCGGGATAAGTGGCTCTCTGAAAACTCGCATGGTGGGAATATCTGCAACACATAGGCAGGCTGGAGAAGAGAGATAGAAATGGATCAGTTGAAAGACTAAACGATCTAAAGACAGCTCTAAAATGTAAAACATAACATTTAATTTGTTTGTAAATGTGAAGTTATCAAAAACCAGCAGTGGCTAAATGTTTGCAAAAACAGACAGACATCAACAGTAACAAACAAGCAGACAGACTCACCTGATTGGAGCCTGGGTTGGGGACATTGATGATGCCTGCAGCCAGCTTGGCCTGCAGGTAGTTTATGAAAGCGGTCCTTAGGGCCTGGGTCTGGTTCAGGACATCCTCCTGGTCCCGTCCACATGGCAGAGCTAGCAGGAGACAGAACTCACTCTCCCCCTGCAGGAAACAGAACACAAACCACATTAGAACAGGCACATGTGATGTACATGAACGTGAGAAATTCTTCCTTCAAATCAAATCATAATTTATTGGTCGCATACACTACATGATCAAAAGTATGTGGACACGTCGAACATTTCATTCCAAAATCATGGGCATTAATGTGGAGTTGGTCCCCCCTTTGCTGCTATAACAGCCTCCACTATTCTGGGAAGGCTTTCCACTAGATGTTGGAACATTGCTGCGGGACTTGCTTCCACTCAGTCACAAGAGCATTAGTGAGGTCGAGCACTGATGTTGGGCAATTAGGCCTGGCTCGCAATCGGCGTTCCAATTCATCCCAAATGTGTTCGATGGGGTTGAGGTCAGGGCTCTGTGCAGGCCAGTCAAGTTCTTCCACACCGATCTCGACAAACCAATTCCGTATGTACCTCGCTTTGTGCACGGGGGCATTGTCATGCTGAAACAGGAAAGGGCCTTCCCCAAACTGTTGCCACAAAGTTGGAAACACAGAATCATCTAGAACGTCATTGTATGTCAGGTTGGATGGGGAGCGTCGCTGCACATCTATTTTCAGGTTTCTCAAGACATGCTCTATCGGGTTCAAGTCCAGGCTCTGGCTGGGCCACTCAAGGACATTGAGACTTGTCCCAAAGCCACTCCTGCGTTGTCTTGGCTGTGTGCTTAGGGTCGTTGTCCCGTTGGAAGGTGAACCTTTGCCCCAGTCTGAGGTCCTGAGCGCTCTGGAGCAGGTTTTCATCAAGGAGCTCTGTACTTTGCGCCGTTCATCTTTCCCTCGATCCTGACTAGTCTCTCAGTCCCTGCCGCTAAAAAACATCCCCACAGCATGATGCTGCTACCACCATGCTTCACCGTAGGGATGGTGCCAGGTTTCCTCCAGACGTAACGCTTGGCATTCAGGCCAAAGAGTTCAATCTTGGTTTCATCAGACCAGAGAATCTTGATTCTCATGGTCTGAGAGTCCTTTAGGTGCCTTTTAGCAAACTCCAAGCAGGGCTGTCATGTGCCTTTTACTGAGGAGTGCCTTCCATCTGGCCACTACCATAAAGGCCTGATTGGTGTAGTGCTGCAGAGATGGTTGTCCTTCTGGAAGGTTCTCCCATCTCCACAGAGGAACTCTGGAGCTCTGTCAGAGTGACCATCGGTTTCTTGGTCACCTCCCTGACCAAGGCCCTTCTCCCCCGATTGCTCAGTTTGGCCAGGCTGCCAGCCCTAGGAAGAGTCTTGGTGGTTCCAAACTTCTCCATTTAAGAATGATGGAGGCCACTGTGTTCTTGGGGACCTTCAATGCTGCAGAAACTTTTCCAGTTTGCACAAAGTCCAATGTAGTTCCTTGACAGCCGTCGTGGTATCGGCTTGAGGGGGAATATACAATGCTGTGACGATGACTGAAGATAATTCTCTCGGGAGGTAATGCGGTCGGCATTTGATTGTGAGGTACTCTAGGTCGGGTGAACAGTTCCTGTACGTTACCACAATCACACCATGAGTAGTTAATCATGAAACATACATCTCCGCCTTTCTTTTTCCCGGAGAGTTCTTTATTCCTGTCTGCGCAATGTACTGAGAACCCAGCTGGCTGTACGGACGGGGACAGTATATCCGGAGAGAGCCATGATTTCGTGAATCAGAGTATGTTACTTTATTGTCCAGGGACTGAACATAAGCAAGTAATATACTCGGATGCGGTACGAAGAAAAGGTCAAATACAGGAAGGTCATATTTCTGGTTGAAATGCTGGTAAGTTACCTCCGCTCTAATATCTAAAAGTTATTTCCGGCTGTATGTAATAGTGCAAAGGACGTTCTGAGCTAATAATGTGAGAAATAACAAACAAAAAACGATACTGTGCAAAGTTGCTTAGGAGCCATGAACAGGGCGACCATGTCCATCTTGCCAGTCCTTCATGATTGGACCATTACTTTAGTTGCTGAGTGACTAGGTTAGAGACTAGGTAAGTGAAAAATGTTCATCATCAAGTAGCATCCACTCACTTGCTGTTTGCCTCCACTTACACTGGGCCAAGTTAACACAATTTAGGATGGACTCTCATCCCAATGATAAGGAAAATAACTTACTGTCATTCTTCTAGCCACACCATCCAGTTGTGACGCCTCAAGTCTCATTCTCTGGACGATCCGAAGCAGCGCTCCTCCCTCTGGTAAGGGCAGCGACCGTAGAGCCAATGCTTTGTTGCCACAGACAAAATGCAGCTGGACAGCAGCTTGGTCATTCTTCAGTGCTAGCAGCCCTTGCCACACTATCGGGTACTTCTGCTCAAACACAAGGGCAAAGAAAACAG